GAAAAATAATGTATTTTTGTGGTGATTCTATAATCTAGAACTCTTACTTGATGTAATGAATTGATTTTGATTTAATGATCATGTTGGACCTACTTTCTTGTCTTAGAATGTATGTTTTCATGGTTGTATGGTTTACATTTTCATGGTGACAATGAAGATAAGATTTTTGGAATGGTTTTAATGGCATGTTGTTGAGAGATTTGATAGGCCATAGCTTAGGTTCTTCCTTTGATGGCTTATTCTTAATTCTTAGCTTCATGTGCTCTTATCATGTGATTGATGGTTTGACAATTTCTAGCTTAGTGAACATGTCTTAAATTACACTTTAGTTTAGGTAATTGAGCATGTAAAATCTTTGATAAATTGTTCTTGCCTATTGATTCCATGAATCCTTTGAAGGTAATGTAGTAACCATGAGTAACCACTTATCATAGCCATATATTTATGTTGTTTTTCCCCGAATGAATCATATTCTAGCATGTTTATATTGTAGGTGGTGAAGTTACTTCCCTAGTCTCTTTTACCGACATTTTATCTCTTTTAAATTCTTACAAGTTCTATTTTATGCATCTTAATTTCATAACTTTAGTGACAAACCAAGCAAACACCCTATTCCCCCTTATCATTCTAAAACGATTCTAGACGCTTAGGTTGCCTTAAACTAGCGCAGTCCCAGTGGTTCGACTTACCCGACCAATAGCCCTATTTTACAATGATTCGTGCTATTGCGAAGGTTGATGTATAGTTGATCAACCGATCACTGGGCGCCACAACTCAGGGTACTGGGTCATGACTCGGTGGGTGGTTTCCTGACCCACTGTGGTTGGAGTTCCATCATAGAGGGACTCAAGTTTGGGCTACCACTTATCATGTTACCCTTTGTTGTAGATCAAGGGTTGAATGCTAGGGTGTTTAAAGATAAAAAGGTTGGGATAGAGATACCGAGGGACGAACGAGACGGGTCGTTTACGAGGAACTCAGTGGCTGAGTCGGTGAGGTTAGTAATGGTTGATGGTGAGGGAAAAATTTACAGGGACAACGCATGGGAGATGAAGAAGATATTCGGAGACAAAGAAGGGCAAGACAGATACATAGAGCCCTTTCTAGAGTTTCTTGAAAAGCATAGGCGTGTGCTCAAAGACAGTTGAGTTGACACCGACTCGACTCGTCACTCAAGCACCAGTACCATTATACTGTTGTATTTGATTTGGATTGTAATGTTAATCAGTGTTGTATTTGATTTGGATTGTAATGTAATGGATTTTCATAATCCAATTCATCTGTTTTTTAAAATTTGTACTCGTCCGTTGCTTTACTGTCTGTAAGGGTCGGTTTGGTACGATAGAAAAGGGTGGAAAGGTGATGGAGGGTATTTAAAAAATTATGTTTGGCCAACATGGGTGGAAGGAAAAGAAAGGAGATGGAAGACTTTGGAGATGTATAGGTATATAAAGTAGTTTTCTTATCCTCTCAAAAATGGGAGGAAATGGAAGGAAAGTGAAGGTACTGGCTGATGGAGGAGTTGTGATGCCAATTTTACTCCAAGATTACAGAAGTTTGCAAAACAATGTACATACAAATTAGCAATTGCAGAGAGAATGAGAGATGGCGGGCCAGTGGCTGAAGCTTGCGAACGGCGAACCCGAACTGGAACAGTGGCGATGGAAACTGAAAGATATGGGTTTTGATTTTTTGAACAATCTGAAATGATATACCGATACAGGTTTTGAACTTTTGATTCTTGCAGACAGATAGATAAACTGAAATATATGAGTTTTAAACTTCTGATTCTTATAGTGCAGAGAGAAAGAAAGAGAGAGGACAAGTTCAGAGTTGAGAACGATAATAGAGATGGAGGCAAGATTGGGGAGGCTGAAATGTTTGCCCTAATTTGTTTTTATTTATTTATTTTTTTTTTTTTTTTTTTTTTTTTGTGGCCCATCAAGTATAGGAGACTATATATATATATATAATAGAGATGGAGGCGAGATTTGGGAGGCTGAAATGATTTGCCTGAATTTTCTTTTTTTTTCTTTTCTTGTGCAAGTATAGGAGACTATATATATATATAGATATAGATTTTTAATATAAAAGGGTATAATAGTCAATTTATTAAAATAATTTCCTTTCCTTTCTTTTCTTTTCTTTTTCCAAACATGATTATTATCCTTCCATTTATTTTCCTTCATTAATCAACCAAACACAATAGGAGATTAAAATTATCATTCTCTTCCATTCATTCATAACTAATGTTATCATTCTTCTTCAAACTCAACGTAACCGACATTCGATGATGGAAGCCCCCCACATCACTATCCGACTCAGCGAACCGCGTTAGTGGTAAAACTTTTGGATGAGTTGATGGGGCCATTCAAATTTGGATATTTATTTATAGGGATAATTTCGTGACTCCGTTAAAAGTATGGGAAAAGACAAGTTTGTCCCTAATTTTTTAATTACATTTATTTCAAAATATTAGATAATGTAAATGACTACTATACCCCTTACACACTATTTCTCTCTCCTCTGTCTCTCTCTGGAGGGACCTTCTCTCTCCTCATCTCTCTCTCACACACAGCCATGCCAAATCGGCCTGTACTAAGATAACCCTGTACATTTGAATCAAATTACCTTACTATTCCCTGACCCTTTCACCCCAAAACATCTCCATTCGCTCCCTCTCCCATCTCTATTGCAAGAATGGACTTACCGGCGATGACGGAGTAAACGGCGTGAAGAGCAAGTAGTATATCGAGGCTAACCATGCAGTGGACTGAGAGGTGGAGCGGCAGCTCAGCTCTATCTACGTCCTTTCTCCAATAGTCATAGTTGATTATCTCTCTCCAATATCCGTGACCTTTTTTTTTTTTGTGGGGTGGGGTTGGAATAAGGTATGAAATCTGTAATCATGTTATTATTGCACACACGTCTAATATTTCCTACCTGGAAGCTGTGATATTATAGAACAATTCATCAAATTATATCTCAGTTTCATAAAGTGACCTGTTCTTTTTTGTTTGATATCTAATATTTTTTGTTCTTTTTTATGCTTACAGTGACCTAATTTTTTATTTAAAATTTCATCCAACTGCTGGTGTAATTTGACACTTGGGGTCGACATGGACATGGAGTTTCCGGCGACCCACCACCGCACCACTGCCCAAGCCATTCAACAGACCCCAATTTCTAATTTGAGGTCTGCAATTTCGAAACTCTAATTTGATTTGTTCAATTTTAAAACCCTAATTTTGATGGTTACAACTTCTAATTCTTCTACCAACAATCACTACCCTTGAATCTTTCATCCAAATCTCCTTTGAAGGAGAATCGGAAAGATGGGAGGCCGAGGCTTCTGATCTCCTGCCATAGCGTGAAATGGTGATTTCTCTAACTTCCCCTCTGTATTCTTGAAGCCATCTTGGATAGAGGTTGAAGGAGAGAGAGAAGGGAGTGAGAAAAGCCAAAAAGAAAAGAAAAATAAATAAATAAATAAATGGTGCTGACTAAGATCAGATGAGAGCCAGATTATAGAGAACAGCAGCGAAGATCCAGGTGGTCAACGGCGATGGTTATGGTTACGGCCGAAATACACAGTGGTGGTTGTGGGTTTGGAGATGGAAACTGTGGTTTAGGGTGAGATGAAAAAAATGAAAAATAAAAATCAAATATAAATATAAAATGACTTTATTTATTTCTGTATATAGAAAAGGAAAGATAAACATGTCATTTGAATAGTCAAATTAAAGTCAAATGACATTCAAATGAAGGTAAATATATAATTTTAATTATTAAAGAAATAATTTAGTAGGTCAAATCAAAGTCAAAAGGCAAGATTAATCATTTAAAGTTGTGAGTTCTCAATTTTTATTTTTCTTTCTAAATTAAAAAAATTTATGAGTACGGAGCTCTTGCAATAATTCCTTTAATTTGAATCGTTTATAATATATTAGCCTTTTATTATTATTATTATTTTTAAATCTTGACCATATAATATATTAGCTTGATAATATTGAAATTAGAATATATAGCATGAGCAATTATAAATTCAAATATCTATTACGAGTAAGTAAAGTTCTTTCGTTTATTAACAGTATCTCGTCACTGGTTTGGTGACTTAGGTCGCCCTCTCTCAAGGTCGCCCTCTCTCACATTATATTCCATGGCCAAATTTCCAACTCCACTAGTTCACCCATTGAGCAAACTTAGGCATCAGGTCCAGGTTAGTCTAATTTTGTGGGGCTATTAATATTTAATTTATAATGATAGTAACATAGATCAAGTTCATGTTTGGACACAGTTTTCAAAAGAACAGAACCAAAACCATGAACTCACATTGGATATTTGGCCAACAGAGTTTGGCAACAATATGAAATAAAATTTTGATCAAATTTCATGGAAAAATGTTTTGGTGATTTTGTGGCTGAACAAACCCTGTGAAATTGTGGCACCCCCAGAATAGACAAGAAAAAGCATAAACCAAAATTGAACTGGAGATGGTAGAGGTCACTCTACAGTGAGCCAGCCCTAGACCCGCAATGCACTAAAGAAGATTTTAGTTCAAATGGCATATATCACCAAACATGCATAAAAGTGTTTCTGCAAGCCATAAATTTACCAGTCCTTAAAATATAGTCTAACCGAGTAAATCAGCAACTTTATATATACCGTCTAAACAAGCAAAGTAGCAATTGAAATAACAGAGTATCCGCGCGATCTCCTACCACAATAAGGGGTTAGCAGAACAGTCATTCAGAGATTTGGATCCTCTCCAATGCACTCGGGGTCACCCCCCACCCACCTTCTGGTTGGGCGACCCCAACCGCCCCCGAAACCCAGTGAACTAGAGAGAATTTTTGTCGGTCATTCAGACATCGAACTCTACAGGAGCGACTCATTTTTCAATTATTCAACCATTTCATTTTACCAAGTTCAATGTTAGTCAGATTAGTCAACATTTATATGTTTCGATGCAACAAGAAGATGTTATTTGTAACAAGTAGTTTTGTTGGTTGGTTAATTGGTCACATTTTATTCATGAAATGGGTTGGATTGGTATTAGTCTGGATACAGCAAAATCATTCTATTAGATCGAATGTACTTGTTAGATCAAAATATACAGGAAGAGAAGATTTACAACAAAAAAGATTCCACCTCTGAAGGCAGAGAAAGTACCCAGAGCTATATTGATCATTCCCAGAAATACTTACTTTGGAGAAGTCAGCTTATTTTCCTCAGAATCATGCTTCAGTGTAGCATCCCCGCCCATCAATTCCTGAAAGCCTTCAACCTTCACCGGCGGAGCCCTAACAAGTCCCACGTTCCTGCATGCAAACAAAAGGTTTCAGAATCCCATCGACTGCCTTTCTTTAGGCCTCAGTGAAATTCATTCTACAAATTGTCTTCCTTACGGTGTCTGCACTTGGGGCATTTGAAGGGAAGCCAATTGCCTAAACTGATTGGTGGATTGAGCATGGTAATTTGACATTGCAGCAATTTGCTGCTGCCGAAACTGCAGTTGTGGATGTCTTGTATTAATTGTGCCAAAGACATTACTGTCCATTGGAAATTCAGAAGGGTTTTCAAGCTTGACTTCCACCATGGGCCTTTCTTTATCCATATTCATATTCATGCCGGGATGAGGTGCGGCTGGTTGGCGCCTCCGCATTCTGTCCCACTGTTGTTGCTGAAAAGCCAGATTTTGGGGATGAACCACCTGCTGAGTCTGTGGATGCATTTGTTTTGGTATCTGCACAGTTACCAGGAGAAAGTATCGTCTTTGTCATTTTACATATTGAATGCCAATATTTGAAGGCTAACATTGAACCTAATAAGTCCCAGAGCCCCTGTGATCAGGGACTAATTGTAAAAGGAAATCCATACAGATAAAAACATTATTATTGATACTAATAGCAAGATCCAGCATTTATTATTCTATGAAAAGCCTTTTCTTGTTTGCAAATGTGTTTAACCATTGGTCAGATTCTGAAGTTAGCCAAACAGTGGTACAAGCTATACAAGGGCAGTAAAAATTATATAAGTCCTGAAGCGTAGTACAGCACAATAGACAAACAGTTGGGAGGTGGATCAACATACTTGCTGGGGTTGGCGAAGGGGGGTCTGGTGTTGTGATTGTAACTGTGACTGGATTCCCTGTAATTGTTGCTGAGTTTGTGGTACAACATTCCTAGAATTATCCTTCACAATCTCTGCTAAAGCCCCAAGATTACTGGCAATAAAAGGGGAAATACATTAGATATTGAGATAAAGAAATTTGTGCACTAACAATCACAATTGAAGGATATTTTAAGAAATAATATAGGAATATATGTAAAGCAAAAGTTTGGGCCAAAAAAATACATTCTTTCAACAAGGCAATTATAGAAGCCAAAAAGACTCAAGGTCAAGTACCACCCCCGTAATATTTTTGCAAATGACCCCCCCCCCCCCCCCCCTGTCTATTTGTCCATCTTTCCTTTTTGGTTGTCCCGGAATATTTGTTCCATTTTTTTTTTTTTTTGATAAGTAAAAAATTTCATAGAAAGGCGCTCAAGAGGGGAGCACTCCCAAAGGAATACACAAAAAAGGCCAAAGGCGACAACTAAAGCTTTAAACTATACACAAAATCCAGAAGATCCCCCAAAGATTTACAATTCCGCCCATTAACCCAAAAGGAATATAATATTTGTTCCATTTGAATAGTCAATGTGAGATAAATGCATCATTCCATAAATTTTAAGTTTTCACAAAATTTCCAACTTGATAATATATATTACAATGAAAATATATATATATATATATATATATATATATATATAAACTTCAAAAGTTAACTTGGGAATTTTGAAAGGAAATAATGCATCAAAAGAATGTTCCATAAAAAAGTTAAAATACCGAAAAGGTACTAATAAATTGGGTCGGAGGGAGTATATCTTATGAAGTAGTAGTACTATATAATGCAACATAGTGAGTTGAAGCCTGAAGTGGTGGGCCGAAGCCGTGGCTCCCATATGATATAACAAAAACGCACATTGTTGCATCATGTGGCAGCCCACAGTATCGGCTGTTTGGATCGCAAAATATAACATTTTCCTTTTATGAGATCACTTGATCTAAGGCAATAGCTTTATTGGTATAAATATAGGAGTGTTGAACAAACAGTCATAGTCAAACTTTGCTTTCGAAAAAGCTGTTAATTACACAACAAAACTAACTGGTTTTCAAGTGCAAGACAGAATATAATGTGATTATTATTGGACTATAAAGAAACCAAACTGTAACCTCAGGTTGTGGATGTCTATTGAAACATCCCACATCACCGGGAAGAGTGAGGTTTATGATATTTGTATGTGTGGGTGCCTCCTAACTGTGTAGACCCATTTTAAAAAACCGTGAGCACGGAGAGTGCAAAGCGAACAGTATCTACAGTGTGTGACAGGTCTAAACAAATGATATCAGAACAAATCCCCTGACAGAAATGGGAGGACCGTGCACAAGCCCTTGAGGGTCATGCCAGTGAGGACACTGGGTCCTAAGAGAGGGTGATTGTTACGTCCCACGTTGCCTGAGGGGAAGAAGTTGTGGGCACTTATATGTGCAAATGCCTTCTAATTGTGTAGACACATTTTGAAAACCGTGAGACGAAGAGTGTGCAAAATGAACAATATCTACATAGCAGGACGGGTTGTGACATCTACGGTTGGCAATAATAAGAATTTCATACAAGAATTACACTTAAAGGAGACTAGATCATCCCAAAGAAATAACGAAGAAATAAGATCTTCTCATTGCGTTTCACATAGCCTTCCAAAGGGGAAAATTTTAGACTTTCAGTATTAATAAAGCCTGGAAAAAAATTCCTACAAAGTAAAAGAATCATATGATAATTTAAGAAATTAGCAAAAGAACTTCTCTATCATTTCCAATAATAGTTATTGTTAATGCTGATTCCAAATCTGCATTTAGTTTTGTTTTACGAAGATACCCCTATTCTTTACCATCACCCTCCAATGTGTCCATAACATGGACTTATTACCTAGCACCCCAAATCGATCTAAACCGCACATAAATTGCGACTTTGGTGGAATTAGAGTAGAATCGTTGCTAGAATTGTAGAATCAACATTTTTTTTTCCTTTTTTGGGTATTATAAATCTTGGTGTATTGATACGCATGGTTGATTGTGATTTTTCAGTGAATATGGGGGATGTTTTTCCTGGGCTTCTTGTTTTGTTTCTAACTTTATGTTATTGACTTATTGGTTTTAATTTTCTTTAGTTTTGATCTTAAATTCTTACTTGGTATTAGATTATTTACTATTAGTTCTGTGTTAAATGTTCATACAATGAAATTTTGTTCATTCATTCCTTTAATACAATGTAGATATTTTTGATAGACAAACACAGAGGTGTCTATCCCCCAATTTTTATATAAATAATGTTAGTTATTTGTTAATTAATATTATTATTATTTTGGATTTACTTTTTAAAGAACCTTGGTCATTCCTCTTGGACCTACTACCAAGCATCTATTGCAAGTTAGTATTGTCTATCGCTGTTCTAATTGAATTGATGTTGCATAGTTTTATGAGAGCTCTACCTTTTGAGCTACATTCTCTTAGATACATGTAACTATATTTGGAGTGGTACTTTCATACATTTTTTGTGTTTTGGGCTTATTCTTGTTATATTTTAGAGATACTATTGTTTAAAAAGGTAGTTTGAATTATTTTTCTACTAGTTTGGAAGAATTTTACAATTCTCGATCCAATTCTACAAGGCCCCCAACGATCAAAACATAGAATGATCCTTACAACCTTGGTCTTTGTTAATACAAGGTAGGGGTCACAATTAGGCCCGAGCCTGTGGGTTACCATCCAGCCATGCCCCTAATGGGACGGGTATGGTAAGCTCTTAAATGGGAAATCGTTGGTATGGTTGAAAGAGCCTAAACCCAACTCGGGGTTCAGGGTGGGGAATGGTTTTCAATCAATCCAACCCTTCCCGATTATAAATGAAATTACATTGATACCTTATTTTATATATACATATCTAAAATGCCCTTACATATACAATTCCTAAGGCTTCGTTCGGATTGATGGATTTGAAAGGATTTGGAGAGAAAAAAAAAAAGTAAATGATGGTGGTTTTTGTGTCTAGGTTGCCATTAAGGAGAGAAAAGAAAGGATTTGGAGAGATTTGGACTGATATATAGTCCCTCCAAATCCCTCACTTGCTATCCTTCAAAAAATGAGAAGATTTAGAGAGAAAATGATAGCAAGTTCAGTGATGTTTTCATAATCTTGAGAACACCCTCAAGAATTAAAAGAAGAAAATTGTTATGACATTTGAGTCCCATCTTATAACATTTTACAAAAGGGTAAGAGCATCTCCAACCCACCTGCTATATGGGCTGCCAATTCAAAATATAGCAGGTGGGTTAAAATTAGGCCCTCCAACGAGCTGCTATTTCACCTGCCAAAAATTGCCTTTGCTATTTTTGGTGCCAAATCTAGCAAAACTTATAGCAACAGCTATTTCTATATCTCTCAATCCTATCTGTCTCTCTCTCTTTCTCTTCCCCTCTCATCCTCATATATATGTGTGTGTGTGTGTGTGTGTGTATCTCTTTCTTCTCAGATCGGTTTTGAAAAAGATCATAAAAAATTTCACCAAATAGGATTTAGTTTGCAAAACAAGAATTAAAGACATTGATTAGCTCATTTAGAAAAAAAAAAAAAAAAAAAAACAAAACCCATACGTACAAGTTAGCAGTTGCAGAGAGAGAGGGGGACAAGCTTGAGAGTTGAGAGACAGCGGCGGAAGCTTGCGAACGGCGAACCCGAACTGGAACAACGGGCGATGGAAACTAAAAGATATGGGTTTTGAACTTCTGATTCTTGTTGATTTTGTAGTTTGCAGTTTTGTAGTTTGCAGTTGCAGAGAGAGAGAGAGAGGGCAATTTCAGAGTTAAGAACGAGAATAGAGATGGAGGCGATTAGGGAGGCTGAAATGATTTGCCATAAAACTATATATGGCGATTTGGGAGGCTGAAATGATTTGCCCTAAATATATATATATATTTTAATAATAATATAATCAAATATATATAATATACATATATATATATATATATATATATATATATAAATTTCCGAAAAAGAAAAAAAAATTATATAAAAAAAATTTATATAATAATATAATCAAATATATAAATTTATACATATATATAAATTTATACATATATATATATATATATATTTGGGTCATTTTTTGACCAGATATTTTAGATTTTTGATTCTTTTTAATTAAGTTTAATTTTAGTTTCCTTCAAATGTCTACAACTTGACTTGGAATGTGCCTAATATTAACATTACTCATGCAAATATGAATGGTGGGAATAGTAGTTGAAAAAGAATAGTGGTTATGTCAAAAAATAGCATTTTACATAAAATGCATCATTGGAGCAGAATTGCTAAAATGTAACATTTTGACACTATAGCACTGTCAAAATATAGATTTGGCATCCGAATTTAGCATTTTACCATTGGAGATGCTCTAATGATAGTAATTTGGTTGTTATCCTTTCTTTTCTTTCTCTCATCTACCTTTTCAAAACAAGAATAATAACCTGTCCTTTCTTTTCCCTCATAATTTATGAGGTTATTGCTATCCTTTCCTTGCTTTTTTTTACCTTCGTAACTAATGCTATCTCTTTCCTTTTCTTTTCTCTCTTGTTTATCCAAATGAAGTCTAACTCTTATTTTGAACTTGTCCATTTTACTCTGCTGCCACCCCCCACCCCAACTCCACTCCCATTCCTCCTCTGATTGGCAATCATAATAATTAGATGGCGATGTCTATGATTAGTAATAATCAGTTTTTCGGCGAGAAAATCATCAACAATATTGTCCCCAACAGCAGGTCACAGTCACAATCACAACAATCAACTCCATCCCCAGTCACTAGTCATGGTAAGCACGCTCTCTCTCACTCCGAACGGGGTGGGAACAGGGTACTAGTTCATTATTGGGACGAGGATGGTGCTTGGAGTATACATCGCTTCCAGACAAGGATTTTGTAATCGAGAGGGATAGGGTTCAAGAAACCCGTTCCAAAGCTGTCCTGTTGGCGTCCTTAATCGAAAGTGTTAGGAGGGATAGATTGAAATACGAAAACCTAACCTTTGTGTTTTGTAGTAAAAAATGGTTGCTCTCAAAATTCGAACACGTGTTTTCACACTTGACAGTCCGAGCTTTTACTCCCGTACCAAGCAACAGCCTCAGACAAAGTACTTTTAAAATTACAATAATAATTTGCAAACAGAATATAACATAGTAGCATTACATTATATTTCATTACTTGCATATTGAAGTTTATCAAACTCAAGCTAGAGTCGCTAGACCAATTATGCATGAAATATCATTTGACTTGATTATTTCTACCAAGATGCATTTCGCTAAATGATAAATTTTTATATAATCTACTGCAGATATAGTTTCATACTATTTATCATTCTACTTCAAAGTTCATCTTCTGTACTATTAAATAGACCAACCAAGAGTCTAGTACACAAATGCAAATAAAAGACCAATCAAACATTCCAAGCATCTGAAATAAAAAAGCTCCACTCACCTATATCCCGCTGTTTGAAGGAACATCTTAAGTAGTTCAATAGCTGAACACTGCTTTCTGTAACTATCAGCAAGGACTTTCAAGATACGACCTAGTTTGCATATATGACAGCTGAGCAACTGAGACAATACTTCCATTGGAACTTCTGAAGCAGCTTCGAAACCCACACTTGTTAGCACACGAACTATTGCCTTCTGGGACATCTGTGATGCTTGCTCTTGACTAAGATGTTTCCTGTTACCTTCAGACCCACCTTTCCCACGACTTTGATTTCCTCCTTGTTCCATACTAAGGTACTCTGGCCTAATACCAAGCCTTTCAATCATAATAGGGCTCCTAGTCATAATTTGAGGAAGGTTATCAAGGACTCCATTGAACTCCACTTTCTGGTTGTATTCCACTCGATTTATGGGAGGGAGTGCGCTATCAGGAACGCAGTTCAACATGAACATCGTTTCAGGGAAAAACTCGTCATCCATAGCATTATTGTCATCTAAAACTGAGTTTGGGCACAAATTTGACCCATTTTCCAATATAGATTTGCCAAATCCCATGTTTTTTTCTTCCTTGTATGCTACTCGTCTTCTCTTATGCTTCTCAAGAATTCTAAGATAAGTAGACATCTGCTCAGGTGTGCGTCTGTCTATTTCTCGATCCCCAAATGATAACCTATATGGTTTGCTGACTCTATGCTTCTCAAAAAATTGGCTATACCATGATTCGGGCAATTCTTCATGCCTAAATCTCTGAGTCACATTATCAATTTCTGATTCGCCATATCTTGACATAACACCAATGGCAGCTTTAGGTTGAAGCTGCAGAAACTGTCAAATGATGTTCAATCAAAGTATCAAACCACAACAAGAAGTGAACTGAAAATAAACACATTCTGTTTCTACACTCCTTTCATGTTAAGCATCTGTAGCACATATACGTAAAGATTTAACTTGACAAGATAAGCACAGAATAAAATGTAATATAGGTTATTATTGCCCCACGAAACAACCATATTGGCATGTCATTTTACTTCTCCTAAATAAACATCCGTCAAGACAGCATAAACCAACAACATTATATGTAACTAAATAAAAGCTTGCAATTCAGTCAAAAAACAGCATTTTTTTTTTCTGGCAAGTGATAACAGCATATAATAAAATATAAAGGACCATAGGGAAGCAAAAGGTACGTTCCTAAAATAACCATATTGTAGAATCGATTATGGATGCCCAGGTATAAAAGAACGAGACATAGAAATATCATTTGGACTTAGCAATAACTCCAGAAAGCTAAGTCATAAGTCATAAAAAATAATGAAACAAGAAGAAATGTAATTCAAGGAGGTGATAATTAATGCAAGGATGGACAAATTATAAGGGCTACTACTTGGTCATGCTCCAAGATATTATGTTACGATTTGCAATAGAAGGATGCAACTGGTTAAAACATAATCAGTTTTATGGATTGACTTGCATATTAGTAATTATGAACCCACAAAATAACATTGAAAAATGAAACGATTCTTTAAATTTTAAGCACACCAAAATGGGAAAGGGAAAAAAATAAATAAATCCAATAGTGGAATTTACAAGACTATTAAGGATCGATGCATGAATTCTCATTTACCATTCTACTCTATGTTGGACTGTGATCAAACCATCTTAAAGCAACCTGTTAAAGAAATGTGCCACATGGGATCCCCTATTTCATTTCTTAATCATCAACAAGAACCCACAAATTATAAATTAGAAAATCAGTGCAGTTAGACGATCGAACCTTTGAGGTCACCGAATTGGACGTGATAACACCGTCTCGCTGCTGAACCCCATTTTGTGAATAACTGTCCAAAGTGAAGTACACATCATCGCCGTGCAACTGCAAATCTGAAAGAACGAACTCAGTTACACACTAAAAATTGAGACCATTGAATCAATCAAACAAGACAAATTTCTATCTACACCGACATTAAACCGAATTATATACATACAAGTGGGATTGAGCTTCGAAATTGCAGTCGAAGAAGCACTAGAAGAAGATGAAGACGATGAAGGTTGAGTGGGGCGTAGAAAGAGAGAGACACAGGCTTTGTCGAAGAGGAGAGCACGAACTCTGAGTTGGAGTTGGATCTGAGCCCTAGATTTTGAAGCATCGTTTCTCAAGAAGACTTCCCATGAAGATGGCGAAGAGAGGAAGTGAATAAAGTTGGCGTAGAGTGAGTCGCCGAGCCATGACCGCCACACGCCTTGGCTTTCGAGCTTGCGAGCGAGTTCGTATCCCCGTCCATCGTCGCCGAGCAAGGCCATTGCCCTGTTTGTGTGTGTGTCGGAGAGGGTTTGAGTAACACACTGTTTGGATTTTACTTGGGGGTCAGCTTGTTTGAATGGAAATGAAAGGAAAAGAAAAAAATGGTCTTGAAGAAAATAAAAAATAAAAAATGTGTTTGGCAGAAAATGTTGGATGGAAAGGGGTGAAAGAAAAGGAAAAAGAAAGATTTTGGAGAAATATAATTAGGTTTTTTTTTTTCTCTTAAAAGTGGAAGGAAAGTTAATATTTTTAATAAAATTTTATTGATATTAAATTTGTTTTTTTTTTTTATAAAAAGAAATTCAAAAATAAAATAAAATAGAGTATGATTGTAATTTGATTGTATAAGTTTTTTTTTTTTTTTTCTTTAAATATGATTATTATTTATTTTTTTTTTTTTTATTAATCGATTAAATACGACTAGTATTAACACTATTTTTTTTTTCTTTTCTTTTTTTTTTTCCCTTAACTAATGTTACCATTTTTTTTCTTTTTTACTGTACCAAACACAGTCTTGGAATTTGTTGAGATTATAAGAAATCAAACCATTGTCTGGACCAATCACATACTAACACTTCAGCAATGCATTAATTTCTCTCAGAATACATCGAATTTAAAAGCATTCCAATTTTATTAAAATGACACTTCTAACCTAATCTCACATTTATTTTCACCCAATAGAAAATCACAAACTTATAAATCATCGGGCATACTATTTTAAAAAAATAAGTATAAACGCCCTACTTGATTAAATTTTTTGAAAATTATTTTATAAAAACTCAATTATAAAATATATATATTTTTTGTTTTCTAATTGTTTTGATTACAACACCTACATTTGATTCAAAAATCCACCCTGTCAAAACCCCCCAACTTACAACTAATTCCATTCCTCTGCCCTCCTCATGACCAAAGCTTTTCAGCAAGTTTTATATCAAAGACGTCTTTTTGAAAACAGCCACCAGCAATTCGTACTTCAGCCACCCATTAGCCTGAAGAATCCACTTGCTGGACTATGCTCTCCTATCATTTTCGGAGCTTGACCTAAAATTCATTCTTGTTATAATTTATGTCATAATAAAAATTATTGCTGATGCACGGGTGCAATAGAGTTGCTTCTACCTCGAGTAAGAGAGCTGGACAAATAATGGTATTATTTTATCCTTACTTAAGGCTCCCTTTGGTTATATGGAAATAGTAAAAAAAATAAATGAAATGACAAATGAAAAGAAAATTATTTTTTTAGTATGTATTTGATTATGATGAAAATTTACTCAAAAAAATTGTAGAAAAATATCATATTATAGTTTGGATACCTAAATTACCCTTATTTTATAAAAATAATAAAATAATAAAGAATTAGAATTAAATATATTAAAAAAATGATAAAGTTTTCAATTAATTTAGACCTTCCCAACTACTATTATTCATGTATGATGAAAAACAACTAGGAAAGGGAGTCAATTACTCAATCAATGTTAAAATTGTTGGTGGACTCTAATTCTTTGAAACTCACTAAAAAATTATTATTGTCTTCAAATAAAAATGAAGTTGTTGGGTAAAATAATATCAAAGAAGTTATTGAATAAAATAGGAACACTAAATAAAAAGACGGTGCTTTCACGGGAAAATAAAATTTCCCTATGTTTTGTGCAGAAAACATTTCGGAGAACATAAATGGTTACAAGAAACTTAATTTTCTAAAACTTTTCCTTTTCTATCTAACTAAACTACAAAAAAAAGTTTTAAAATTTTCTATTTCCTTTCTTTTCCAGTTGATTTTATCTAATCAAATGAAGCCTAAGCATATTAACATTTTGTTGTTGGGTAAACAAAAAAGTTTGGAAAAGTAATATATTATGCTTTGAATAAATTACTTCTTTTGTTGGGAAAAAAAAGTTTATAAAAAAAATGAAGTTTACAGTGAAAATGATTGTTATGATATTATAAAAAGAAGAGATGGTGAACTAGGAAAAAAGAAGAACAAGAAGAAGAGATGTTGCATTAATGGCTTTAGGTTTTCTTGTCATTTCTTTTAAAATGGTAAGGAAATTAAGTATAGTTCAATTGGAGAAAATGTGAGTGCAAATATTGTCTCTCTTTTGAAAAATAGTGCCCTCAAATTTGACGAAAAATGGTAGTATTTGTAAATTTATACACAATAGCTTTAAAAATGTACTTGTACAATTTTTTTTTTTTTTTTTAAATTCCTTTTGGACTCGAATCTTCACCATCTACTTTGCAAGATCAAAGAGGTACCACTAGATCATAAATCATTTGATAATTTATAAAATACGTTATACACATAAGTACTTAAAATATACATTATCAATTTATATGCACTATAAGTGTTTATTTGCATTTATACATATTTTGTATGAAGAAATGTTATTTTCATAACGTTTTCTATCATGAACTTTTGTTGATGTAGTAGTCTATTTTAAATAAATTAAATACTTATTTAATTAAGTGTATCTGATAATGCAATATTTTTTTTTCTTAATTGGTACTTACATTTACTTGTCTCTTCTGAGACTTGAACTCCCAACCTTTTTTTGGGAAGTAAGAGCCGCTAGATTTTTTATAGAATTTATATTGCATTATATATGCAGCACTTTGGATAATGCAATATAAATACTATTAAAAAAAAAATCACTTAAAATAGAGTAAAATTGTATAATTTTAAATGAAGATTACTTCACTCGTTATTTAAAAGCAAGCAGCAAAACCTAATTTTCAATTGAGCAATGCTTTACAAGCTTCTTTCATTTTTTTATGTATGAAGAAAGTCATGTCATTTTTATATACTTTACAAGTTTCTTTCATTTTTTATAATATAGATTTTTGTAAAATATTTTATAGGATAAATTGCATTTAACCCCCCTTTGACTTTCACTGTTTTGCAATAAATTTCCCTTTAATTATTATTTTCCTCTCAACTAACCGAGGGGGGTTGTTTTTTGAATTTTGCCAAGAATACCCCCCACCAACCAAGTCAAATGAGGGTTTTATGCAATTTACCATGAATTTAGCTAAACGATTATATATTTTTTTCTTTCTTGAATTATAATATTTGAAGTTATATTTTTTAATTAACATATATATATATATATATATATATATATATATATATATATAATTTTAAAGTAAAATTCATAGTTACAAATGCAACTACATGTTATTTGTTAGGATAAAGTGTAGAAAACAGCCCTATAGTACTCTTACAGAACATATCACACCCCTCACATACAAAAAACACCCCTAAGGTTTTAATTTGGTGAAAATAGGTCCCCCAAACAAATTTAAACCCTAAGTTGACTAAATTACCCTTAATGAACATTTTATAAAATATGTAATAATAAATAATTTTGTAAAATGACTAACAGACTTGTGGCCTAACGGTACAAGACTCATACTTCTCAAAGGGAGGTCAGGGAAAGCAGTGTGTGTGAATCCCAACTAGGAAAAAAAAAAAAAAAATTTGGTAAAATGACCGAAAATGACATTATTGAAGGATGCCTCTCACGTGCAAAAAAAACACCCCTAAAGTTTCAATCTGGTGCAAATAGGTTCATCTGATAAATTTAAACCCTAAGTTGACTAAATTACCCTTACTAAACCATTTTATAAAAAATATAAAAATAAATAAATTTATAAAATGATCGAAAATGACACTATTGGAGGACGTTGGCAATTGACAAGTAAAGATAAAAATAAAAAATAAAAAACAAAAATAAAGTGCAAACTAAAGAAAACAAATCTGTTCCAAATTCAAAAATCAGTGCACATTGATATTGGGAATTTTTTTTTTTTTTTTTTTTGGTACGAAAAAAAAAATTAGTAAAAAAGAGTAAACTGAAATCTCAAAAAATTCAAATCATTTTTGTACAAATTGTCAAAGTTAAAAAAAAAAAAAAAAATGTTTAGAGATATATGCAGAGAAATTTTTTTTTTTTTTTTAAATATATATATATATATAAGACAATGTGCATATAACACCCCTATTCTATGATATTAGTAGCATATATACTCCCTTAGGCATTTTCGGAAGAATAAAAGGTTAAAACGGGTATTACAACACTAATTGATGTCAAATGGGTATTTTTACACAATGTGAAAAGATTAGAGGTGTTTTTTGTACACTTTTTCAAATTGGGGGTAAAAGTGCTATGCGGAATATACTTTAGGAGTGTTTTATGCACTTGTCTCCTATTTGTTAGCATATGTCTTGCATAATTAAATCTTGTAATATTCATTTTTCTCAATTTTTTTTCTATTAAAAAAAGAAAAGAAAAGAGAAGAGAAGAGAGAGAGAGAGAAAAAAAAAAAAAAAAAAAAAAAAAAAAAAAAAAAAAAAAGAAGCCTACTTTTTGTAATTAAAATTCATTTTTGTCGATTTAATTTTTTGATTAAATGCCCATCTCATATACTTATACACACACACACTCTATAAAATAAAAAATATAATATAAAAAATATAACAATGGTATAATAATATATAATATGAATAGACATATAAGATTTGAATTTATATGTAGTTGCACTCATAAATATAAATTATAATTTTTTATTTTTTTAATATTTTTTTTTAATTAAAAGTATGGTGATGCATGTAACAAAAAATATAAGTTGAATTATTATTATTCGAGAAAGAGAAAGGGAAAGGAAAAAAAAGGGTTAACTTCAATTACACCCCCTGTGATTTGTCCAATCTTCAAGGAGATCCCCCCACCTTTGCAAAAATTCAGTCAAACCCCCTTCTTTTTCTGACACATATCAGTCTCCCCCTCAGTCAACGATCAAAGCTGGTCAGAGATATTTTTTGGTGACATCAACAAAAAAAGTAGATTAAATGCCCAGATTGCCCTTCAAGGTCATGTTTGGCTATAGACTTGATTATAGTCTATATATTAGATAAGAAATAAACAGTGTTTGAGTCTTCTTCCCCATCAATGAAAACTCAATGCCTCTGTTAATAACCAGCCTGTTCCACCATAAGATACCTTAGGTAGACGTTTTATATACAAATCCAAAAGAAAATAAATCAGAAAAAACACTTATTACAGAGAGGAGATAATGGAGCACCCACAACAGTAGCAGCAGCAGAGGTCGAGCGATGATCTTCATCGCCGACAAGCTCCTCACCAGCTGCAACTCATTGGCAGCAAGATATTCAAGATTGCCACTCAGGACCACCGACTCGCACTCCTCTTGCACCCTAATAGAAACAAGCTCACCTTCGCTGACAAAGCCTTCAAGCTCGTCTCTGATGCCAGGTTGTTGAACCGACTCTCGGCGACAAGGAGTGTGTTGACGACGGCGAGGATCCGGTTGGCATAATCGAGTCCTGGGTCGTCCTCGATGGCTCGGATCGAGAATTTCTTGCTGTCAATGAGGTCACGGAAATAGAGAATTTCTGAGTTTCATAACCTCCATCCCACCGTTTCTTCAAATCCAACCCACAACAATTCAATTTAACTCATCAATTCAACCATTCTCATCAGTATATCATTGAAATAATCTAATAAAATCATCAATTCAACCATATGTATCCATCCAGCTCGCGGATCTGATTGAGAGCATACTCGGTCTGGTACTCATTCTCCGGTATTGGGTGTCTGAATTCAACAAAGAATTGGGGAAAACTCACCGGTGACTGCTGCAACTTCGTCCACTTCAATTTGTACCCTCAACGATTTTGGTATCGGAAGTTGTACGACCGTAGCCTACTGAAATTGAAGTTCATCGAAACTAAAGCTCACGGTTGGGTCAATGTATCTCTGTTTTCTTCCTAGTCTCTCAAGCTCTATGCTCATATCAGTAGGTCGCTGAAACTTTGACATTGAGTCACTGAGACTCTAAACTGAATTGCAAAGCAATGAGTCTAATTTTGTAACCTGACTTTGCTATTGAGATACGAGGGATAATAGAAGATTAGCTGACTGTTTGGTTCAACAGATAAAACTAATCTTGGTGGGAGTTATAAAATATGTTATTTGATCAAGTGTATATAGGAAAACGACAAAAGGGTAATTTAGTTATTTTATTTATTTATTTGTTTTTGTCAGCCGATAATGTCTGACAGGGAATCTGATTGAATTTTTGCAAACTTGGGGGTCACTTTAAAGATTGGACATACCCCATGTGTAACTGAAGTTAACAAAAAAAAAAAAATACCAGCGAATTGCATAAAATCATTCCCTTTGACTTGCTTAGTGGGGGTATTTTTGGTAAATATTTAAAAAGTCACCCAACTCGGTTAGTTGAGGAGAATTTTTGACAAAATAATAGTAAAAAGAGTTTATTGCCAAACGGTGAAAATTAAGGGGTTAAATGCACTTCATCCTATTTTATACAGTATATAAGGACACGACCGTAAAAGCGTTGTTCACATGAAAGATACTATACATGATGGAAATAAATTTATCCACATCATGTTATAGTTATTAATTGGGATCGGATGGTTTTTTTTTTTATTAAATTACCTGGAGTATCTTAAATCGGTGTTGAGAGAATTCCATGCTTTAGTGGGGAAAGTAAATTCCATAAATTAAGCCTCAAATCTTTTCTGACTATGGGATTGATTTTGCCAGAATTTTACTCTCACCAGGGGTAAAAAATAAAAGACGTGAAAAATAGGAAATTTATATATATTAGTTGGATTCGTTATTGTCCTCATCTCCCACATGACGAATACAAAGAGTCAAAGAATAACCTCCTTGGAAAGACTAAGATGGTGGTGTCATGTATAAAAATAGCACATATTCTAATCACCACAAAGCTGAATTTAGCTTGCTGCTCTGCTCTTTCTCAGAATAACCATCTTCCAAAGATATACCAATTTTAGTCTTCTCATCCTCTCTAAATACTCTCTCTACATTATCTGTCTTTCTGTTATTATCTCTTCCTTTCTCTACATCCCTGTAGGGAGGGGATTGGGAAGATATGAAGGCCTGACATTTTCTTCAAAGGTTTCATTCAAATTATTACATAGCTCTGGAATTCAAATAACCAACATATCGAAAGCTATTATAATTTGGAAGAAACCCATGACAATCCTTATGGAAGGTAAGCTTATTTTCTAATGTTTTTCATTTGAAACTTTCGAACAAAACTCTGTTTTTCTTTTTTCTTTTTCTTTTTTTCTTTTTCTGAATTGTTGTCAATTTTGTTATGTTTGAAGAAAAAACTGTAGAAACCCAAAAAAAAACAGAAACAGAATTGACAGACAGAGATGTAGAGTCATCGCCTAGAGGTGTGTTGGAGATCCCTGTTTCGGGTTCGGAGTCTGATCAAAGCAGCAGCGGCAATAGTGGTGGGTCGTCGTTGACAGAGAAGGCGAGATGGAAGAATTTGTTTGGTAACATAAAGAAGAAATCTGGGATTCCATTGTTGTCAGGGTACGAGAGTACAAGGAATAGTTTGATCAGAAGGGTAAGGAGTCGAAGCGCGTCTGAGACAATTGACTGTGGAGAGATGGTGGTGGCCAAGCCCACTTGGAGGAACTTCAGTTACCAAGAGCTCACCGAAGCTACAGACAATTTCAGTTCTGGTAAGAGAATAACGGTGTAATGGACTCACAAGTAATGATATATATATATAGTATTCTAAATCTATACAGTTAAAAAAACACATTATTATACATTTAGGGGTGCAACTTGGCCAGTTCAATTTGAATCCAACTTGAATTATGGACTTGAGCAGCTAATTTTCAACCGAAACTTAATTAGAGATAGGGAACCCAAATTCTGTTTTTATTTTAAATATTCTAAATATTTATATATATATTTATTTATTTCGATAGTGAAAAAGTTAAAATTTTGATCTTTGGTCTGTATATTAATCATGCCTACTAGATGATCTTCTTTCCAAGCACCTAAAGAATGAGTAATCTACAAGTTTCGTAAAGTGAGTATGACACAGGATATTAATATAATAAAGTTAGCGTTGTAACCCAAATTCTACCCCGAAAATCTCAAACTGAGTTTCAAGTCCGAATTCAACCCGAGCTTTGGATGGGTGGGCTAGGGTTGAAGTTGAGTTAGTTCTTCCAATTTTGTGCGTTACATGTCCAGATCATGCAACTAACTGTGATTGAATTTTGACAGACAATTTGATAGGTAAAGGGGGGCATGCTATGGTATACAAAGGATGCTTATATGATGGTCAAGTTGTTGCCGTGAAGAGGATACTGAAGGAAGAAAAGACAGACGAGGATAGGGTTGGTGATTTCTTATCCGAGCTTGGGATCATTGCTCACATCAACCATCCAAACTCTGTTAGATTAATTGGGTACAGCGTCGAAAGTGGTTTGCACCTCGTCCTCCAATTTATGCCTCACGGCAGCCTTGCTTCTGCGCTACACGGTGCTGTATACTCATTACCTTTCATTTCTCCTTTTCTTTACTAAGATATAATTAAGGTCTGTTTGGTTTAGTTTTACGAGAACAGTTTTACTGAAAATGAATATCAAAATGCATGATTTATCATTTTCTAGAATTTTTTTTCAGAGAACTAAACGAACCAAGCCATATATATTATGTGTAGATACTTTTAGCAGTGAAATGTTCAATGTACTATAAGATGGTTTCATTTCTGGTGAATTAAAGGGTCATCAGTGATAACGAAATTTGGTCTGACCATGAATTAATGTACCATTTTTAACATTAAGGAGCAAAATGTGAAGCTAAATTGAAATTTGAATTTGACTAAGGAAGAGAGATTCAGTATTTCAGGTTCAACAGAGAGTCTGGAATGGAAGATAAGGTATAAGGTGGCTCTTGGAGTAGCTGACGGATTGAAATATCTCCATTGTGAATGCCAGAGGCGCATCATCCATAGAGACATCACAGCTTCAAACATATTACTCACCGAAGATTATGAGCCTCAGGTTCTCATTCCATTTCTCTGACAAAGGCTTCAAACTTTATCTCCTTGTTGAGTGTCTATCTCTAGCTTCTGATATAATTTGTGACGAGCAGATTTCTGATTTTGGATTGGCAAAGTGGCTTCCAGAGAAATGGGTTCAACACGTTGTCTCCCCCATTGAGGGCACGTTTGGGTGAGGCCATTTAAAGTCCATGATACTTTTTTTTTGTTCAGTATGTGTAGTGTATTTCTGGGCTTATCACATATATATATATATATTAAAATTGGATTCAGATATATGGCTCCAGAGTATTTCATGAACGGAATTGTTGATGAGAAGACTGATGTCTTTGCATTCGGGGTTTTATTGCTGGAGCTTATAACAGGACGTCATGCAGTTGATTCATGTCAACAAAGCCTTGTGATATGGGTATGTTTTGATTGTGCTAAATATATACTTGTCACATTAACTTGAAAAGAACATGCATTTCTAGATTATATATCCGTTACTCTTGTATGTATAGGCAAAACCGCTTCTGGAGAAGAACAGCGTCCCAGACATAGCAGATCCTCGTCTAGGGAATGCTTTTGACATTTTAGAAATGAAGCGCACCATGCTGACAGCTTCTTCATGCCTTCGTCACTTACCCAGCAGTCGTCCAGACATGAAGCGAGTAAGTTTTTTTTTTTTTTTTTGAAAGTTCAAGCAAACGCGCAAAAAGTCTCAACAACCTTTCCTTTGGGAGGAGAGAGTTGTTGTTTACAATCAATTAAGTATAGCAAAGCTGAATTTCTCGGGTTTGCATGTGTAGGTTGTGCAGCTATTGAGAGGCAAGAATGGACCGGCAGATCAGAAACATAAGTCGTTTAAAGGAAGAGCGATCCTTCCCGCCTATGCTTGTGAAATGGAAGACTATACTAGTTCTTGTTACATCAAGGACCTCAATCGCCACATGCAACTTGTTATGGAGTGATGGGGTTGCATATGTATGTGCCTTGTTGATGCTGCTATGTGTTGTACGCAAGTTCAACAATAGTATGTATTGCCTGCCCTAGGGTGTCTGTCTGCTTTGAACATTACATTCGGCAGATGCTGTCTTATTTTTAATAGTCAAGCATCCAAATTTGGGTTTCTACATATTTTGTTTTTGCATCTCTCTTCTAATACCACCTCTTAATATAATCTATATACGGATGTTAGGGCAGAAGAAAAATAACGATCAATGAAATCAACATTTGCATGCCAAGAACTCCAACTGCAAGTCAATCAATCCTAAAATGTCCGGGTTGATCAAATCTATATGGTATTTACTACGTGGTACCCCAACCAATGCATGCTCGTTTTTGAAAACTCTCAAATTTTCATATATGAAGACAAATTGAGAGTTTTCATGATTGTGTATTAGTCAGTATCACGATGAATATTGTCACAATTGGACCATATTAGAATTAGTTGAGCAAATATAAATGGGAATTCTTAAATAGTTGTAAATAGCGAACAAAGGATGATCCCCGACATACGCAAATTGATGGCAATCCACAAATTTCACACTAATATTATTAGTATGATGCATAAGCTGCAAGGAGAGAGTATCTTCTGTAAAAACACTATCCAATTTGATAATGAAAATTGAATTTGATTACTGTACAATGACTTTTACCTTTGTCACCATTGATAACTGTTAAATAAGTTCTAAAATGTTAAAATATGCATTAGGTGTCTTTTAAAAAAATAATAATAAATAAATAAATTCAACACGAATTCTTAGCCGAGTCCAGTAAGGAGGTAGGTATAATTGTATCATTTTTCAAACTGAAAAAGTATAATGCCAACAGCATATCCATTACACCAATATAGTAATTGACAAACCTAACTGTCTTCTAGTGAGCTTCTTGTAGTTACAATGTTACATAAGTATAATAATACTATTTGCTAATTCTCTCTCTCATATGCACAAATATGTACTGTATATAATTATATATGTCTCCAGGAATCCTAGGATGATTCGGGTATCCAAATTCCTAGGGTTTTGCTCCATTAATCAATCCCAATTATAATGTTGAAAAAAAAAAAAAGAAAAAAAAAAAAAGAAGAAGGATTCAAAGAAGCTAGAATTCAAGGAAATACCAACAAAATTCAAAACTTCAAATCAAATTATTCAAAGACCAATAATGAGGTCCCAACACTGCCATCTACGGCAAACATAGGAAAAAGAAGTCCAAATCTTGCCGTCCCATCATAAGGGTGTCAAAAAAACAAAAATGCCAAACAGTCCTTTGAATTCCTCCTAATAAAACCCTTTTTGAAAAATTCAATCCACTCCCTAATCCTTTTCTCACACAATTTTCTACCCCTCAACAAGGTCTAGATTTGCTTACCTCGACTATTTCTTGAATCTTTAATAATATATATATATATATATGTAGAAATAGTTCTCTGCAATTGCAGGAAGAAGAGTTAGCCAAAGCTAGGAAATGGAAAGTCAAGCAGAGAAGGTGTATGTGGCCATTGGGACTGACCTGCAAGATGGTTTTGGGACCTTGGAATGGGCAATTAGAAAGTGGTCCTCTCATTCAACCTCCATAGTAATCCTCCATGCACCTAATGACATATACAAAAACTATGTTTGGACACCGAGTAAGTTCATTATATATTCATATTTGAATTCCTTCCCATTCTTTCATAGAATTGTTCAATTGGTAGGAAATATGAAGCAATTAGTGGAATGAGTTTCCCTTTCTTTTTCAGTTGGAAAACTCCCTACAAGTTCTGTCAGTGCTGAGAAATTGGATGTTCTTCGGAAGATAGAAGGGGGAAAAATTGACAAATTACTATCCCAATACATAACTTTCTGTGGCCAGGTTTGTTCTATATATATATATATACACGCGCGCGCGCGCGATTTCTTTAATGGCTGCTGAAAATCAGAAATGTTGCCATAAAACTAGTTCTGGCAAGACTTATGGAGTGTTTTTTGGTTCATAGGTGAAAGTTGAAATTCATAAGATTGAGAAATATGATGAACCGGTTCACAAGATCATGATAGATTTGATATCCGGACTTCGGATAACCAAATTGGTCATGGGATTTACATCCATGAAGTCCTCATCGTCGTATGCACAATACCTTTTCCATCCATTCTGTCTAATAATTTTGAGCACTGGCTCTGAAAGTTTTTTTTTACTAGTATGTCATTTTTATGTCTTATTTCCTTTTATTTTCTTCCTCTGTAGGAAATCTAAGAGTGGAACCAATGGATTATTTTACATTCATCGGCATAAACCTGATTTTTGCGAGTTGTTCATAATAAGTGGTGGGAAATTGGTCTCCTTGAGAGAAGAAAATAATGAGGGATTTATGGAGGATGATAAAGGACTAGTGGTAGCTAAGATTAGAGACGGTTAGTTTCAAAGGTTTGTTTGGAAAAAAGTTCCCTGAAACTGCTACTAGTGAAAAAATCCCGGATAACTCACCTTCTTCAACAACAAGCAATGAGTCACCTGATCAATGGGAAATTTATGCGCAAGAGATTGAAAATTATTTCCATCAACTGTTGTCTTCGAATTCAGATGAGGAAGATGGTGCAGTGGAGAATGACAGTTTGAAGACTAGTCCAACAGCACCAGATCTGGTGGAAAATATGGTAACTTTCTAATATGGACATTTCATTGACTTATATGACCATAAACTAACCTTGATTAGTTCAGAGCAGCTAGAAAATAATTCATTTTGTGTTTACTAAGTCCACTTATGTTATGATTTTTTTCTACCTTATCTTTTCCATCTTTTGACCCTAGTGGCAAATGATAGTGATATGCCACAATGGGCTTTATCTAGATTCAAGAATTCAAAAGGCACACTCATGACTATTGCCAATGCAAGAAGTGGGGAGTTCATATTTTGTTTTTTTATTGTTTCTCTCAAGTCCCAAATTTCAACTTTGAAAATGATCTGTTTTGATTAATAAAAAAATACCCATATTGGTACTGATATTTCAAGAACACCAACTTCGGCAAAATATCAGAGTTCTGCAGAGAAAATTGAAATGCTGAAAACTAGATTAGCCAAAGCTCGTGAGATGATCCAGTTGAAGAAAGAACAAGCTAGGGGCAACGTCGAAAGACATGCTAGAGCTGAATGGGCCATTCGATTGTGTACTCGTCGGGTAATCTCTTATTTCTCTATTTTAGTCGGATTTTAATTCAATTCAAGAAGAAATTAACAGAACAAAACCATTCTTGCTTCACAGGCAGAGGAACTTGAAGCTCGTATAAACGAAGACATAGCTAATCGTGTAGAACTAAACAAAGAGTTGGACATTGCAAAGGAGGAACTTTGTGAATCTCAGAGTGAAGTTAAAGGAAAGAAGAGTAGGCTCAATTCAGTTCTTGAACTCCAACAAGAACTGTCAAGCAAGCTCCAATTATCCTCTTCAGCAAAATCAGAAGCTGAGGCCCAGCTAGAGAATGCAATCACTAAAAGAGCTATGATGATTTGCGAGATTGAGGAGATGAGACGACAAAGAGATGTTTTGCAGCGTAGGATCGAGTTTTGCAGAGAAAAGGATGCAATAGGAATGGCTACAACTTTGAGTGGCTTAGGATTTAACTGTAGAGTGTTCACAGCTGAAGAGATCAGAGCAGCCACTGATGATTTCTCGGAGCATTTGAGTTTGAAATCTGCAGGTGTTCGGACAAATGTGTATAGAGGGCGTATCAGCCATACAACAGTTGCAATCAAACTGTATGATTCAATCAATGGACTATCTCAAGAAGCCTTCCAAACTAAGGTAGAAGACTTTTCCTTTGATCCTAATGCATGTTCTTAAGGTTACAAAAAGGGTATATGCATCTTTACAAATTAGGCTAGCCTAATGCACAAGACTCCCATCATTTTAGGATCCAGAGAGAGCCACATGTACGTAGTCTTAACTTAGGAAAAAGGGTATATGCATCTTATGCTGAAAAAGCATCTTGTCCACTAGTTTTATTGAAGTTAGGCCTATAATAATATGGTGACTTTTGATGGAAAGAATTTTGATAGTTGTGATAGTATGACACTTGACTAAGATTGACCCTCCTAATGCAATGCAGGTGAAGCACCTTAGCCACATTCGTCATCCTCATATAGTGGCCATGATCGGCTTCTGCTCTGACCTAAAATGCATTGTCTTTGAATACTTGCACAACGGCTGCCTCCGGGACATTTTATTCTTGGGCCACAGAAGAAGGAGCCGAGGACTCAATTGGCATGCTAGAATTCGCATCATGGCCGAAGTTTGCTCGGGCCTGGCCTGCCTTCACTCGGCCCAACCCAGGCCCATTTTTGACGGCCACCTCAACCCCTCCAAAATCCTACTTGATCGTAATTTTGTTGCAAAAGTCCATGGCTTTAGTCTTGATTGGAGGTATAATGAATCTGATGTGCAGTCAGATGTTCGTGGTTTTGGGAACCTAGTGCTGCAGCTTCTCACCGGAAGGAATTGGGCTGGACTTGTTGAAGAGGCGAAGGTGATGGACCCTCAAGCATTAGCTAGTGCCTTAGATAACATGGCTGGAGAATGGCCTTTGGACTTGGCAGTGGAACTCGCCGGCATAGCAATGAGGTGTTTTTCCGGCAATGAAGGGCCGGCAACAGTGATGGCAGAGCTCGAAGAGGTGAAACAAAAGGCCGATGATCGAGTGGCAAGCCTAGGATGTGAAATGCCAACTGAAGGAGATGTACACACAGAGGACTCAAGCAATATACCAAATGTTTTTCAATGCCCCATATTTCAGGTTGGCTTCTATATCACCCTTTTTACTATTTGTTGTATACACTTGCACAAACTTGGGACAAAACTAGACCACATGACCCCATTTCATAAGCCTCCTCTTAGTAGCCCGCCCCTTTCCACTCAATTTATTCTCTCGTCTTACTGAACATGAAATCCTCCATACCTGGTGATCAAAATAAACAAAGCTGCACAATGCCTACTCTGGTTAATTAACTAACTACATGAATTGTCGATGCAGGATGTGATGATGGATCCGCATATTGCGGCTGACGGGTTTTCTTATGAGCAAGAAGCCATAGAGGAATGGCTCAAGACTGGGCACGATACGTCACCGATGACCAACTTAAAGCTCAAGCACAAGCTCCTCACCCCTAATCACACTCTTCGTTCCTTAATCCAGGACTGGCACAGCAAAAGATCCATTCATCATGCATAAACATTGTAAACTTGTTCTAGTTTTAAACATAAAGAGCAAATTGAGCATGTTGATTCTTTTTTGGAAAAGCTAGTGTTCCCTGCAACAGTTGAGATAACTAGCCCAGTTTTGCCAATTTTTAAGTAAGCAACATTGACTCAAGTCTAAAGAAACGTAAGACAATGGAAATCTCGTGTAATAAGAGAATGAATTATATATGTATATGTATATATCACAATTCTGTGTAAGAACATAATGAAATGAATATGCATCTATCACCTATTTGAGCTGTACTGCTTCTGAGCTACACTGCATCTCTGCGCCACGATCTAGATAATGACCTCCAAACAGAGCAAAATTCCCAGTATTTCATGCGCATACTACATATATATCATGTCATATATCCAAACATTTTGCCCAATGGAAAAAACGGGCAACTCTTCTTGGCAAGGAATAATCTGAAAGAGAAGCCGGATCCCTTGTCCTGTCTTCAGCACTTGACCAAATATAGACCCCTCGTTCTTGCCGGCTACCTGGTACAGTATTGTCTAGTACAAGGGCCACCAACAGTGTCACCACCATATTCAATGACAGAAGCGCATTAATTGCAAAATCAACCTGATGCCATCCAGACAGAAGTCAATAATATAGAAGGTAACAAGAAGGGAGGAGGAAAATACTGACGTAAATAATATAGAAAGAGGTCATACTTAAAAATATATTTATGTATTGCATTATGAGTAATAAAATTAGACTTTAGGTCTCTGTGCTTGAATCAAACGATGAAAAGTTACTTGCATATGATAGGTTTGAAATTTGATCACCAGTTTACAAAACAACCATCATTTAACGCTTCCTGTAGGTGCCAATTTAGAAGAACTCATAAATCTCATTGAGATGGAAATTTTTACGTTGCTTGAGTCATTTCACATAAAGCTCATTTGTTGAGAAAATTATATCATTTGAATAAAAATGTCATATTTTATGTCATCAGTTTTAACCCAGGTGATTGAATGCTTTAGGATTTGGCCCTCTTAGTGGCATTTGAAACGATCCCTTTCGTGTTATGCTCATATAAATAAGAAAATTAAGGAATCTCTCCTTCAAGAAGTGTTGTGTCACTTGTGCATTTAATAACACCATAAAACAAAGAGAAAACTTAAGCTTTCTTCCCATCCTTATCATGAAAAGGTGGGGGAAGTAAAAAGTTACTCCGTATATAAAATAAAAAGATAAAGAAAAAGGGGAAGGGGAAAAAAGAAGAAGCGGTGACTTACTTGTTTACTGCCGGTGTGGACTGGTCCATTGGATGCTGCAGAGTAAGGAACAAAATAACTAGGCAGAATCAAGGTGGTCTCAGGTTGATACTGTTGAAAATATGCTGGGATGGATAAACCAAGGAACAGCGAAACACCAACTATAGTCATGTTTCTAAAACTCCCTGTCTCACTATACTGCAGTGTTGAGAAACCCAGTGCCACAATCAGAGCCCAGACGAAGCACAGTATGGCAGCACCCAAGGCTTGTGGTATAGAAGCAAGGATGGCACCCACTTTCCCTATCAAATACAGGTCAAGCAATTGGTAAGTTACCTTCCTACAGGGATAAAATGCCTATAGGTTTTGCAATGAATGATTAGGAAATCTGAAGAAGATTCCACATTATATAGCATATTTCATTATTATGCCTCGGCATCGAACTTTACAGGTCAAATCTTTCCCAATCCAGCTTGATCCGTGTCAGACCAACTAGATGCATTATAGGTATTGTGTATATCACATATACTGCTTAGACGTATATGCATCTAATCTAAATGATTTATGTGGATATTTCTGTAATTTTAGATCGACATTCCGACCATACTTCAAATTCCACATGTCCAATATACATCTAATCCAATATACAGTAATCATATTAAATAGCATGCAACAATAATACATAAATCTGCATTTGTAATAGCGTCTGAGACTCAATTCTACGTCTCTGTGCCAGGCTATTCCAGAATAATATACCTATGAATGAGGATAGGATCAACAAAACTGCTCCAAGTTGCACCGCCCGTTGACTTGCTACCTTTGTTATCTTAATGGTGTGCAGATTTTCGGTCAAGGTTGTTGACCCGGTCCCCGAGCCCCAAAGTCCGGCCAGTATACTACAAAAACCTTCCAGCCCGATTCCTCTACTAACAATACCTGGGGTAGGAGGCTTTAAATTGATTCGCAGAGATGCAGTGTGGTAAGTTCCAACCTGGTAAGGGGCACAGCAAGTCAGGCTTAGACTCGAATTCATTCTCTATTTTCATTCAGTTCTCTAATCCATAACATGATTATGTCAACATTTGAAAATCCATTTGGTTCCTCCATTAAAAGTTTTTCTACTTTCAATATTTTCATGTGTTGGAGTTTTACCAACACAAACCATGTCCCACTAGAGGTTTATATCACAGGAATTGTGATGGGATATTTTTGCCATTATTTTAACATTATTTGTGGTTAAATGAAAGAACTGACCCTCACATATAATAACGTGGCAATTTGTGCCAGATGATATATTGTAGAGGTATACCAGAATTTCTTTCCTTATGACAGTGCATTTTCTACTGCCTCTAGTCCATTGGATTATCGATTACTAACCGAATCCACTGATGCAACCAATGATACAATGATCATGATGATTGAGGTCCTTAAATGGAAGATAGGGATACCCCACTGCAAAGGGTAGGGAACCCTGATCCATGCAGCATCTCTCCAAGCGTTGGAAATATCGGTCCGGCAATGCTTCATGGTATATGCATGCTTTCTGCAAGCATCAATTAAGATGTTGGAACTGGGTATGTCAGGACTGCAGCCTTTGTAATTGTATGCTCCACCAGCTGTCAAAAAGAATGCATACGCCCAAATAATAACAACACTCAGGGGAACCTGTAATAGTTAGAAATGTTGGCAAGATCAGTTAGATATATGGTATATATATTTACCGCATAGAAAAGAAAATTCTAACTAAATCTGCAACAAGAAGGTAATAATTAAGTTAATGGAAATGCATACAACTGTTCACTTCTTTTTCTACTTTTACTTCTCTTTTGAAGCCATGGTGCCTGGGAGTAAAGAATAGGGGTTCAAGGTAAGAGGGTTGCATGGATCTGTTCTTTAAAAAAGAAAAGACACGTGTCAATTAGTGGAGGGCCATTAAGAAAGTTTATGAAAAGGGTCTGTTTTGATGGAGACCAAAATCCAATGAGGCTAATTATTGACTCTCAATGTTGGACAAAGGAATTTATCATTTTAGGCTAATTATGTTCATAACCTTAGGTTATTAGAAACCCTTCATAGTATTAGGGGGGATATTAAGATCTGCCACTCCCCTTCTTATGCGTCCTCCATGCAAAGATTGAAAATTTCTCAAGTTTTAGTTAACAGAGAATTTCTTCATAAATGAGGGAAGTATGTGATTATAGAGGAGACCTACCAACTTCTGTCATATGTAGACCAGGAGTAGTACCAACTTTTCATTTTTGTGGGCAGTGGGTAGGTAATGCTAGTTGGTATGATCCAAAGGCCCTTGAGAGATTATGGAAAGGCTGATGATGACGGAAAAACTACTATATGCAAATTTAACTGCAGCTGGAGAATGGAACAGGATATGTCTTGCCATGCCGTATAATTGGGACAAATATCGAAGACAATGACGACAAGAAAGACTCTTCCGACCTGAAAAGCGGGGTGGATAGATATCCACTCAGAAGTGAGGTTCAATGTGAAAGTTCTGCTGACAAGTCAATAGTCATATTATCCCACAACATCTGTGTAACTTCAAATCTTTTGGATTTATGAGCAACAGTCGGTATAAAGGGGCTTTTCTCTTGGAGGCCCTAGTTGCAGTTCATGCTAAGACATTCACATTTGCTCTAATAAGATTCTGTCTCTTGATCCTATTGGTGGGGTGGGTGAAATGTAGGATAGGGTGGGCTACAGTAGAGTGCATAGCTAATTTTGTAATATTATGAACCAACTGGGGAAAAAAAAAAAAAAACAGTACCAATTTTAACCCAAAAAAAAACCAACAAATTGGAAGATAATATACATACCGCATAAATCCGAAATACTCGTTGTCCAAAAATAGATATCCCTCGGAAGTACTGGGGAAAAAAAGAACAATAAAACTAAGAGCAAGTGTTGTAGCATGTTGTGAAAAGTAAATTAACCTTTAACACCAAAAAAACTTTAGCACAGCTGAACAAGAACAAGCTAAATGTGCATGGGAATAAAATTATCTTGTACCACCCTTGGATATCAAGAATTAAAGTAACCTAAATTAGGTTTTATAATCTGCTTAAAATATTGCTTACCAAGGTGAAAATAAGAACCAATAGTATCTGTGGAAGGCTGATTTCCACACAACTACCAGCTTGAGGAAAGCCATAGCTGAAAAATGCTAAGCCCACTGCGGCAACAGTGGGTGCAACAACAACTGGGTTTATCAACCTGCAGCACAATATTACATAAATAACACAAATTGATTCAAATTAGATGTCCTTCCCACCCAAGCTTGAAAATAATTTAGCTGCTTAAGCAGATACTTGATATGGCAGCTTGAGACAATGAACTGCTCAATCCCGAAACTAGAATGTGAATATTGACCAATATAACACATGAATAGGAGGAGCCAAGGAGAGAGCTAGATAATCTATTCAAGTTTTGTATGATTTACAAAAATTCAGGTTACATCTAGCTACGGAGGGATAAGTTTCGTAAATTAGGGTTCTATTACATCAACATCATTCAATAATAACAACAGTACAAACAGATAGAATAACAGCAAGACAGAAGAATTATGAGCAGCAGGGCAAATTCGTCCCTAGAAACGCATCAAGTTAGCGGAAGGAAGATATAAGAAGGCAACACATTAAATTACCTTAGAAAAACAGGCATTAGACCACTGAATCCCAACATGCATTGAAAAATTGAACCAACGATTATAGCCCCTTGCAATTCCCTCATAATGTGTCTAAATTTCTGCAGTTAACTGAGCATGCATCAATAATTCTCACTAAGAATAATTTCTGTGCAAAAGAAAAATAGTGCAATAAAATTCACAAACAACAGTTGCATGCTATTTATGATGCTTTTCAACATAAAAGAATGCACTTGCTCAATTTAAAAGAACTTGAATTGAACATATTAATCATGAATCATATTCCAGATAAAGTTTTAATTTACAAAGTTGTTAGTGGAAATATTGAACTTCGTAATATTTCTAGCAAAAAATATAATGTTTTGAAAATACTGAAATGTTCATCTGTAATAATGAAATGTTTAAGGCATTTGTGACATAGCTAAGAGTGCAATGTGCTCCCCAGTAAATAAAATCACTGAAAGTAATAAACTTACATGCTCAGTTAAATTGCGATACTCTTGAGAATTCATAATAACTAATGCCGGTGCCAAATACACAAATGAGCTCCCTTGAACCAATGGAAGCCTGGTGCCAAAGTACGAGTGCAGTATCGTGGTAATGCCAGACACCAAAAGCATTGTGGACATTACAGTGGCTGTATCCTTCTGTCATCATATATAAAAGAAAGAGGTGCTTATACTGAGTTAGATCACTGTCGTCTCACATCCCAAATTGCAATAGGAATCAAAGAATTCATGAGGACATATGCTTACATCAGTTCCACCCATTGCCGGTACAATGACCAAGGGAATAAAAATAAGTGAACCAGCCAATGATAAATAGTGCTGCACACCGTAATACATAAGTGGTACTGCAGTTTAAAACACCAGAAAAGAATCAAGAGTAAACCGCTGCTGATCACAAGTAAACTATAACTTAAAACATAATTCAGAACCACAAATATTCATTATTTTTCAAATACAGGAAAAGAAAAAAATTATTAGTTCAGACATACCAAAATGGAGAATATTTTTCTACACAGAAGAGAACTCAAAGAGCATATGCCAATTGTTTTAGAGCAAGCATCACAATTTTTCATACTGTAACATATACTGGTAGCCAAGGCACGGCAAAAAACTTGAGCTAAATCCTTGTAGTAAAGCTTAAACAACTTTCTTTCACATATTTAGCTTATATGTAGCTCTTGCACGAATGGAGAATATGTTTCTGCATAGAACTGAATTCAGAGTGCTTCATCAATTGTTTTGGTACAAACATCACAATTCTAAATCTGTGTAGTGAAGCTTATAGACTCGTACAACTTTCTTTCACGCGTTTAGCTTATCTGTAGCTCTTTGAAAATTTAACTATCAAGTCCAATGTTAGGCTTCTTATAAAGTATGTTTTGGCTATACAAGATTCAGATTGTAACTCTATTGCAAAGCCAATTGTGCAGGCTTATCATTCTAATAATAAACAGCTCAATAAGAGTGGGCTCTCATGAATAGTCAACTTTTGTTGGAAAGAGTGTTTACCATGGTTCTGTGCAAGGAGTGGGCTCTCCTGAAAATGAATCTTAACAATGAGGTTTAAAATATATATATTTTTTTTTCTTTCCTTTATTCGAAATGAGTATTTTGGCGGGGAAAGGAGAATGGAGAATGATAAGCTCTAAGGTTGGAACATTCCAGGTTACATGATTTAAGAGTTCAACAGGAATTCTCCTCTAGATTTTGTCCTTTGCTATCTTGTGCTTCAAAGAAAAAAAATAAAAAATAAAAATAAAAATAAAGAATTATGTCTTCATTATTATCATGATGAGTTTAGCTTTTGAATCATCTTCACCCATAAACGGAAGCCTTATATACTGAAAGGTAAAAGCACAAAAGATAATACATCCTCCCCAGTCATATCAGCCTATATGTAGTTGTTGTAGACCCTATAACAGAATTAAAATACAGTCACATTGCTTTCACATTTAACCATCTCTAGGGAATGGTTAGAATCAATGAAGATGCCTCCTTTAACCATCAACTAATGAAGCTGGGGAAGAAGTAGTTGTGAGGAATTCTTTGGGCAAAGTTCTTAAGGCTGCTATTTTCTATGAAAGGCATGTTCCCTCTGCTCGCATGGCCGAGTTCTTGATGCTAAAACATGCAGTCAAATGCTCCATTCAATGGAGTTTTGAGATGAAACTAAAACCTATTTGATGCAGAACAAAGACCTAGTTCTAGGGAGTTTTGCAGTTAGGAGGAAGACTTCTTGTTCTCTGGATGGTAATTATCCCCCTAAGATGATTGAAGTAGTTGATGAGGATTGTAAACACTATTTCGAAGTATAAATTTCTTGTGATTTTGTCAGGAAAACAAAATATCTTCGTTGGTATGTTTGTTTACAAATTATTTGCAATATCATAGAATTTCTGCAGGTTCTGCATTGTGCTTTAATACCAAATTGTTCACAAGTGCCACTAATGCAAAAGAAAAAGAGAAATTGCAACTTCTTTTTCGAAAGAGAAAAACAATCAACAGACAGTGTGAAAGTAGTACTAACCGAAACCCGGATTTTCTCTCAGCCCACATTTCATTGTTGTGAATGGAGGCTGCCCTCCATGACCCGGTCCTTCACCATCCGGAAACGCGTCAATTCCCACTTCTGGATCATCTTTCTTTGCCCCGGTGACCGGAGTAGTGGCCAGAACTTCATGCCCACTACCATTTACAACCTCATTCCCATTCAAATTAACCTTCCTCTCATCATCTCTGGCCCCCAAATCTGGGCTATCACCAATTCTCCTCCCTTGATTCTCAACTCTATTTGTTCCATCCCTCAACCCCACATAATCAATTCCATTCTTGGGCAACCCCTGCCCAGACCTCAAAATAGGTTCGATTTCTGTCCCTCTATTTCTAGTCCGCCCAAGAACCGGATCGATTTCAATCTTTGGCGAGGACGACCCGTTTCTCTCAAGGCCTCTCTCCAAATCAAGCTCAATACTCTCACTATTCTCATTCTGGCCCCTCTGGCTCACGCTAGTACCAGTCTCTCCAGAGAAATTAGAGACAAAACCAGTCCTCTTGGCCCAAGATTTCAACTCTCTCGGATTGTGATCTTTTTTTGGTACAAATGGTTCGATCCTGGAAAGAACAGAACCAAGTTTCTGACCCTTTTCAGTACCAACCTTCTCTGGGGTTTCTGAGTTCGACCCAGTTTCCATTCCAGCTTTTCCTCAAATGGGTACCAACTTTCCAAGAAAATGCAGGAAAATCAACCGAATCAACCCCGATTTGTTTCTTACCCTCTGACAAGAACCAGTAGAGAGACAGACAGAGAGCGAACTTGGAGGTTAAGGCATACTCCGTAGCTGGATAGAATTATCAAAAGGGGTTATGGGGTGAAGAGCATAATTTTTGCTTTGACATGTGTTAATGGTGAGTGAGAGTGAGCTGACGATGATGATGAGGAGGAGGCAGCATCTTTTTATCGTCTCTTTTGGTCTTTTTTTTACCGCTCGCTAGTTGCTTTCAGTTGGAGCTTTCAGCTGACTAAATTTACCGAGATGCCCTCGTTTGGTGGCCGTTAAGACAATCTATACATGTGTGTGCGTGTGTAGAGAGAGAGAGAGAGAGAGAGAGAGAGAGAGGCGGTGATGAGTCATGTCAGCGTCAGGAACTTCCTTAGCTTTCAAGATTCTCCTTCTTGATGATAGAACCAGGAACTCAGTGAGTTTGAAGTTGAACTCGGGCGAGGCATGTTATTACAATGATTAAGAAATGGAAGAACAGAATTAAAGTGGCCCTGAAAATATTGATTAGTGAAAAGAAATTTGCAAATTTTTGCTTTTCTGGCACATAGATTTTGACCTTTTAGCTTTAAATTGAGTAAAATACTGGAAACCTTTTGTTAGCTTTAGAAAAAAAATTCTTGTGTTTACTTATTTTGTGCACAACAGTTTAGGTTAGACGGTTGGTTTAAGGAGATTAAGACTTTATTTTTACTCGAGTTCCAGGGTGTTAAATTTTTCTTTTTCATTTTTGTTTGACAACTTCGTTGCAGGCTTGCAGCACCTTTTTTTGGAAGGAAGGATGGCCCGTTGACGTGGCGATCTCAGGTGTTCCCACATGGACTTATAAGATAATAAAGTTGTAGGACAATGCTCCTTCAAAGAAGTCAAGTATGGATGGATTAGGGAGACACACTGATAACGGGGTAAACGATCGATTCAATTTGCGAAGTGACATTAGTGATGGTAATACATTTGATTTGTTACCTCCTTCTAGTTTGTCAATATTTTAAATACAGTCCTATACTTGTACTTACTAATATTTTAAACAGCTTCTTATACTTTTATAATTCTATTTATCTTAGTAGTAGTCATTACTTGCTACTATTCAACTTAGTAATTCAGATGTTCGCAGGGAAAATTTTTTTATCAATTTTTAATTTGTCTCCTCAAGTGCCAGTTGATGACATCCTTTAAGTGTTCACAAAATTTGTTACATAATTCAAAATCTCCTTAAATGTAAGTGAGATTATAAAATTTAGAGGACTTCGTGAAATATTAACAAACTTAAAGAGTTGTAGGTGAAATTTAACCTATTAGTGAGGTTTTAGGTGGCAGTAGAGATGGCGATGGATGCAATGGTGGCTTTAACCTCTTGTCGGCAGAGCAGTGTGGCGGCTGCGTTCCCGTAACATCAACCCCGGGTTGGAGTTGATGACAGCAATTGCAGATATGATGGGTTGAAAATTCTACTCTATTTCTTTAACCAAACACAGGATTTGGAAATTGAGATGTATCAAATTCTTTTCCGGTTTAATCAAAGGAAGATACCTGCTTTTGCTTTCAAGTTGTTTGATGGTTAACCTCCCATCCTTCCCTGCTCCTTTTAGGAACATCTTCTCTTTTTATACACACACCCATGGTTTTTCTAAAATCTCTCAATATATATATATATTTTTTTAAAGAAACCTTTGCATTTCCAGTTGTACATTAAGGACTAATTTGGTGTGCAAGAATGAATTAGAGTGTGAGAATTATTTGGTTGCAAACATGAAATGCTATAAATATGGAATGATGATTCTCATTCATGTGTTTGATTGAACTAATTTAAAAGCTGTACTGGAGTTAATTGACATTGATTTCTCAATTACCCTTTATCATGAATAAAGAAATTTAACTTTAAAAAATAATAATAATAATAATAATAATAATAATAATAAATTTAACAAAAAAATTAAAGTAAGAAATGAAATTGGGGCAAGATTAAGGCAATAAGACGCCATGTTGAGAAGAACGTGATCGAACAAAGAGGAGGCATCTCCGATGACAGGGGTGAGATAAGGGGTAGTGAGACAGCGGAGGTAGACGAAAAAGGTGAAACCAACGCTTGGAGACGAGAGAGGCGGCTGGGTTGGATTGGGTTGAGGTCTTGTATGTTCCACCGTTGAGAAAGGAGATGATGATGGCGGCGGAGCAAGACGGTTGGAGGAGTTGAAGGTGCGATCCAGACTTCCAAGGTCTCTGATCTCAACGGTATTTCTGGATTGTCCGATAGCTTCCTCTACTTCGGCCACCTTTGTCGTCGCCGTGGTTCTAGGCTATGGAAGGAACTTCGAAGTCGATGGGTTGGAAGGCGCCGATGGGTTGGAAGAGATCAGAGATGGGTTTAGAAAAGAGATGATAAACAGGTTTTTTGGTCATAATTTTTTTAATCATATTCCATTTGGGAATGGAATGCCCATTTCATTGGTAAAGAGAATGAATGATTTTGGTGGAATGACCATTCTCCGAAAATAGTGGAGAATGATGATTTCACCTTTAATAGCCCACACCAAACACAAGACTGGAAAGAAAAGCATTCCATTCCCTCTGAGTTGATTCCATTCACCCACACCAAACAAGGCCCTAAATACTCCATCAAAGTATCAATAAAAGACCCAAATTTCTCTTCCTTAGTTTCCTAATTGACTAGAAACACATGTTAGGCAGCTAGCTGAAAAACTCTTTTGCCAAACACAGGCCAAGGAAAAGGTATGAATTATTTTAGGGACCCCATAGCTGCAATTTGTTTCCTTACTAGATCTATTATAAAACAAGCTTGTTAGACATACATATATACACACACACACTATCTATAATATGTATATCTAATAGTACATCTTAGGACATGAAGTTTTAAAACTCAGAAACAATAACCTCCATTTGTTACCAAATTGGTGACAAGATTGTTACCCAAAACTAAGAGAGTTACCAGGCAAATTACCACCAGACTACCCAGTTCCCATTCCCCATCCTAATGTGACAGCACTTTATCTAAATTGTCTTAGGATGACAATCTATATCAAACCTGCTCATTATTTTTTTTCCTTTTCCTCAAGATGAAACGGGAAGCGAGAGATCTTGGAACAGATGACGGGATGTACCAGTCACAGCTTCCTCCAAGAATTGAAAGACTCCTGGTGGAACTTCTTCAGGGATACACACACTAGAAATCAGGGCACGTCCTTTATTGGAAAAGTTTTTTTCCATCTCGCAAATCGAACATATCATTATGTTCTCCCATGGGGAGCTGTAGTTTGAATCTTGAAGGGCCCGATGAGACAGCTCTACAATGTCATCCACCCCGTGTGAGGAACCCTGGGAAAGGATCAGCCTCAGTAATGGGAGATATTGCCAATTAGGATTTTGATTCAACAACAATATTGGGGATTCTCATCTACCAAGCAAGCGCGGGGCCTTTCCTACGTCCCCACAACTCTGCCATGGTGTGGAAGAAACACCCAATTACAAACAAGAGAAGCCAATTTATCACCATTATCCCTCAAAAGACCCCCGGCAGCAGCTGGTCTGGAGTCACATTGGCAACTGAGACCTCAACCATAACTTCAGTACCATATCCCAGAGCAAACGAAAAGTTATAGTGCTCAAGCCAAATTACAGAAAGCAATAGTCAGGAGCCTATTTGCTCTACATTTCAGCATACCTAGGAGAGCACACCTCTCATATCTCAAGATCAAATTAATTCTTGACATTTGGGATTGAGTTCAAACTTTTTGTGCCTGTTTGATGAAATACTCCAAATCCACAATTAATTCAGGTTTAAACAAGTTGTCAACTTCTTTCTCTTTCTTATTTTCATTATAAAAATAAAAAATAAAAAAAAATTAATAATAATAATAACCATCAGAATTACTTCTGGCTGGCAACTGCCAACCAGCAATATGAATCTCTCGCTGGTTGTTCAGATGAACAAGAGACAGATCACAATAAGAGGAGTTCCCTACCAGAAGCAGCTGACCTAGATTTCTAACTATTGAATACAATACAAAATTCAACTGCACTGAGCCTCAAGCCTATCATGAGGTGTCACGTTCACTTTGGATTGAAAAAGAAGTCCAAAGTTAAATTGACTTTCTTTTCCTTTTTTCCCACCTTAGCAAGTAAGACACTCACACACCCACTTTGCCCCCAAGGGGACTTGAACCCTAAACCTTCTACCTTGGAAGGTGAGGAAGTACCACTAGACTACAATGCTTGGTAATTGACTTGCTTTTCTTTTTTCAATAAGTAATTTTTCCAAATAAATTCAAGTAACTCAAAAAACATCTTATTTTTTATTTTTCCATTCATTTGGTAGGTAGGACTGAAACCCAAACTTACCCCAATCCTAACTCCTTTAGTCCTTTATCACCTGATCAAAAGCCTTGGTGCGAAGTAAATTATGTAATGTATTAACTCCATGTAACCTAGTTCAATCATACACCATTCTACATTAAAAAGTGTCAACCCTTGCTAGCCCTAAGGCTCATATTGCTATTGTAATTTTTTATAATATTTGAGATTGACAATGATAAGAAATTAAACCTTTGACCCTGCTCTACTCTTTTAGATGCCGCAATAGCACCTTAGCACTGTACTACGATAATTTTGGCCACAAACTCTAGACAATAGAAGTAAAGATATGGCGAATCTAGTATGCTATGATTGCTATCCCAACAAAAAAAGAGCAATCCAACCCCATCTCACGATGCTGATCAAGCTCAGCAGAGGAAAGTCTCCCAGACATGGATAAATTCAGTATCACCATAAAAAAAAAAAATTGGTACCTTAGCAATCTGCCATCAGTCTATAAGATTTCTTATTTCCTCCCCATTCTAGCAAGTTCACCTGCTACAATCCTAGCATTATTATTCAAGTATATGGCCTCTAACATTTACACTATTTCAAGCACAATAAATCGAGTGTGGTCTGGTCATCCCTTTATCAGTTTCTCCTAACTGATACTGTTTTTTGATTAATTAAAAAGCTATTACAAGTTCCATCAACGAGTAGCCAAACCTAATCAAAGGTCTTTCCCATTCCATTTTTTCTCAAATGCAAAACAAAACATACTCTTTATGAACTAAGCAATTAGGATAAGCCTATCACCCAACTTGTATATGATTTTGCATATCACAAAATTGAATGAAACTAATACTACCTTTATCCATCCATCCGAAATAACATGTTCATGTCTGAAGTTTTTCTATTTCAACTTTTGCCTTCCTGAATTATTGCTTTATTCATAGCCCAATTTAACAGATGCACCAATTGTCAGTGCTCTCTTCTCCTCTTTAGATATCTAACATAATCGATTGCAACAATCCATAGAACCTTACTTAAAACTGACAACTCAACATAGATGTATCACATTCATTAATACCAGCACTGCAGCCATTTCCTTCATCATTATCACCATCAACAGCAGCACACAATTATTATAAGAAGAAACCCCCTAGTACCTTAATTGCAAGTAATAATTCAAAAAGAAAGGACTAACTTCAAATTTGAACAAAAAGAAGGTAGGAAAAAAATGACATTTTAATGTGGTAATGTTTACTTTCCATAGAATATGTCTGTATATGAATTATGAAAAGCGAAAAACAGGATCCTGATTCATGCTATCTTTTAAACTAAAACAAGCAACTCTGTTTACAAGCACTGCCACATAATTAACTGCTCGTTGTATTTACTTCCAATATCCATAATCCACTACTCTTACAAAATCCCCACTTTTTCTATAGGCCTCTCACATACCTTCTTAACATCTTCCAATTTGTACCTTAATGGCAACATCAACCAACAGCTTGCAGAACCAATGCAGCAAGTTCATCCAACAAAACCCAAGTAAGAAAAGGTGCCACTATATAATTCAATCCGCCCATTGAATTAACCACTAAACAAAACTCATACCTTCCTGAACACTAAGTTCCGATTTTCGTAGATCACACCTAAAGAAAAAACTAGATTTCATTCCATTGATTGAGCTAAACTATTTACAGATTTTGGACAACCAAGAATTACTAAAAAACATGAATTTCATGCAAAACTGAACAGTTTACACTGACAATCAGCAGTCAGCACCAACCAAGAACCATAAAAATTAAAAATCAGATTCCTTAACATTGACATTAATCATTATGTGTCAAACACAATAAATATAACAAACATAAAACTACAGAACAACACATATCAAAACGAAATTCAATTTTTCTTTTCATAAAGAACAAAGAAAGGATACATGGACATAACTCACAAGAATCTGTGGAATTTGAACAAAGAAAAGGAGGGGTTTTTTTCTCTGTGTTATTTGCTTTGGTGTATCGGAGAGAAGAGACGAGACACGTGTTCTTGTTGTTCAAGAAGGCGTCGCTTAAGGTAGGTCTCGAGGATCTCCATGACGGAGACGAATCGCTTCATCTCCTCGAGCCGGCGGCTGAGATCGGCCTCCCGAGCCCTAGCTCGCTCGAGCCGTGCCTCGGTCTCGGCCAAACGGCCTCTGAGATCTTCGACCACAGCGTTCTCGTTCGCCGGTGGTCGAGGCCGAGAAGGGTTCAGTTCATCTTTCGAAAGCAATCGTTGCGATTGACCGTAGCACATGTTTGGATGATGGAGGGATTTTCTCAGGGTTAGAAAAAGAAAGGAACAATTGCTCTGGTTTTGGGTATCGATGCACACCGTTGGATTGATTATTTTTCTTGTAAGGGTTTGTTTGGCTCGAGGGACTGGAATGAAAAGAAAATAGTAAAAGGAAAAGAAAAAGAGAAATGATATTTTGACGACAGTTTATGACCCGACTTACAACCGACCTACATGAAAAACTTACGTGGGCAGACTCCTATTCTCCCTTTGTCTTTCTCATTGTCCTCTCCCCATCCCAAATTTTATCGCAATTGCCCTATCTCTTCCTCATCGCTGTCTCTCCCATTCGTCGCGGGTCACTGTTAATCCATTATTCTTTCTCATAGTTGTTAGACTCATAAACTCCTTTTCTCTCCCTCATCGTTGTCTCCCTGATTTGTCGTCGGGTCACCGTCAATTCATTGCTTACCTCTAACGTACACTGTTGTTCATTATCTTCCTCTCACCTCTACTCTAAATCTTCCAGAAAGCATAATCAATCAATATATGTGTTTGTATGTGTGCGTGTGATCTTTTTAAGTCACGTTGTGTGAGAATTTATTGTGGATGTATTAGTTTGTTTGGTTTATGAGAGATGGAGGGAGGAAAAGTAAAGAAAAAATTAGGGATGGGGATTTTTTCTTCCTTATCGTATGGGTTCTAATTGAGTCAATCAAAGAAGATATTTTTATTAGGCTCAGTTTACTACTGGTGTTCTATTCAATTGCCTAGTAAAGAACACTATATGATTCAAACTATTAAAATTTATAGTAAAGGAATATAAATTCTGAATTCAGATCACGGTATCTTCAACTTCTCATATTTTAAGTAAATTATAATATATGAATTGTTAATTTAATGGTTTTTGTTGTTGAAGCTTGTTGCTATAATAACATGTATTTTTCAGCATTTCGAAATTGTATTTGTGTGGTCTTAGACTGTATATGGGCTTAATGTTTTGTTACTTTGATATGTAACAGTGGCCAGTTCTCTTTCAACATTCATTAAAAGAGTTAGAGGATCAAAGAGTGCAAATTTGGATCACATAGACCAATGAAAAAAAAAAAAAAAAAAAAAAACTGAAGTTGAAAGTGCGCTAGCACTTAGAGTTTTGGAAGGATGTTGTCTGCTCCACAGAGAGAGCACCGTTTTTGGCCTATAATTACAAGGCAATTCAGGTTTGTTTTTCTACCACATCTGAGCTCTCATTTATGACTATTTGAATTATGTAATATTGTTTAGGAACCTATAAACTACCGAGAATTATTCAAGAGGAATGATGAAAATATATTGGATTTTAGTACAAGTAGTGTGGAAAATATCTATTCCAAAAACCTGACATTCGAAGGACTAGTGTTGATGATCAGTGCAATAAGATTTTTCTTTTCCTAATGCATTTCTCAACTCCAAGCGGGAAGAATTTTTTATTTGTACAAAGGGACATGCAATGCTATGACAGCGTTTTACAACACAAATAACACTTATGAAATCTTTCTCATTTAATATCACATAACTTCTAATATAACATTTAACAATATTTGTTAGCCATTGAGTTTTTTTTTTCCTCAATTTCAATGACTGAAAAAATGGAGATGGAGTCAAAGTGTCTTCTTTTCTTAACTTCATATTATTTGTTTGTGTGTAATTTTTTAACTCTTGAGATCATATTTTTATTAGTCAAATTATTTTTCTGTAAGGAACAGGTTATTACTAGTATGAATTCTGAGTTTTGCTCACTTCTTGATTTTTTAACTTTTGAGATCAGATTCTTATTTTCCTATTTCTTTGATAAGTTTTAGTTAAGTTACAGTTTAATACTCGACATAATTAAGCACCATAACAAACATTTTACCCAGGTATGAAGCACAACAGTAATTACCTTCGAATCTTCAAAATATTATGTGTATTCCTTGTGTTACTCTATTTAGATTATAAGTTAATTATGCATTATCAAGTGCTACTCTGACAACCTTAATTTTGTGTTTTGACATCATAGGTCAACCGAAGAATCTGTGTCTTGACCATTTTGGTTAGACTTATGTTGTTGGTTCAAATATTTACTAAACTAGGTTGCTTATTGAGCCATTTCATTACATGGTTTAATTGTTTGTTGGGATTTTTTTTTTTTTTTTTTTATTCTGATGCTTGAATCTAATAAATATTAATGTTTGTAGTAATGGCATATTTGTATTAGTTACAGACCTATGGCTGGGTACTTGGTTTCAATGGTGCTATCTTTTGGATTTGTAATCTTGAAAGGTGAAAGGATCGTGTTAATGGAGACTAGTCAGCAAGGAGAAGTCATCAAATTGGAGGAATTTTGAACTCTACACTAATTGTTGGCCTATCACATTGTTAAGGGAATCAGATCAAGAACCATACTCCAAATTGAGTAGCTAGATATGCTTCAATTTTTTTTCTTATTTTATAGCAATGGTACTTAGATTGGTTTTATGTGACAAAACGTTATGGTAAATGGAAAGATTCATTGGATATATATATATTTGAACCAAAAGAGCTTAGACATTGGTCTATAGCACATTCCACTTCTAGTATGTAATGCAAACTAGTCTCTGGTGTATTATTCACAATTTTATTTTCTCAAGTAAGATGTCATTGAACCTAAATATACCGTTCACTACCAACGTTCTGTTGACAAAGATCAGAACACAAAAAAAAAAGAAAAAGAAAAAAAAAAAAAGAAGAAGACAATCATTATCATCACTTCCTAGAATACTTTCATTAATAAGCGGCACTTAAACATTCAAAAAACAGATGATCAACACCTTAAGTAAACAAAAAATTGATATCATTTAAACACCATCCAGATGTACATTATAATAGCATAAGATATAAGTTGCTCTCACAACAATTTTTTAACTCATGTATCTAGACCCCCAAAGAAACGAAAAGAAAATATTCATAAATGTAAACAATATAGTACATGGACAACAAGGGCATTCCCTTGAGCAAACAAATGAAAAACAGAATGTCACCCGAACGCAAACACCAAAGGCTTTCACACTACAAGAGTCAACAGATGCAACATATCAAAAGGCAGCATAGTAAGAGTCACCCGAAGCAACTCAGAACTGTTGGCAACAACTGAATTTAGAAGACCAATAATCTGAGAGGTAGATTACAACAAAAGAATCATCTACTTCTCCGGCCCCAATGTATCAATGTTGTTGTGCTGGTATCCATCCCAAAGAGAACCTGCAAACAAAATAAAAGTAAATAACTTTGTATACCTTCAATAAACAAAATAAAAATAAATAACTTTGTATACCTTCAATATGTTGATCAATTGCGTACTTTGCCTTAACTAGATCCAAAACATACCTTCATTAGTAATCTTAGGCTCAAGATTTTTTTCATTAGGAAAAGAACCATCCATTAAAAGAATAAAATAAAATATTGCTCCAAATATCAACTAGTGTCCAATTTCTGGGTTTCAAAATCATTTTACTTCTTATATATCTCTTTTAAAAAATCATAATAAAAGGAAAATACAGAAAGCAAACCCATCTTTGAATTTTATTGCACATATATTTCTTAAAAAAATAAAAAATTTAGAAGAGAAAGGAAATATAGAGAGCAAACTCATCTTTCAATGTTACTGCTCAAATATCTCTTAAAAAAATCAGAAGAGAAAGGAAATACAGAGAGAAAACCCATCTTGTTTCAACATGAAAATATATATATATGAAAAAGAACGATCCATACAAAAAAAAAAAAACATATTATGTAAACTAGAATCCATACCTCATGATATAGTTGTTTCTTTGACAAATTTTACAACTGTTTACACCCTCTGTGTGGCACTCTGTCGCTAATACAAATAGACCTGCGTTGTGATCAAGCTTTCCTTTTGGTCTGTTGCGTGAGGCAGCAAGACGACTCAAAAAGGAAACTACAACTACTAAGCTTGAGGCAACTTCTCAATCAAGAAATGAATATAGCACAGAAGCAGAGGAGGAACAAGCATGACACGATGAACACAGAAAAGAACGAAGAGAGAAACCAGAGGAGACGAATAAAAGAAAATCTAATTAGACAAGAATTTTTAGTATAAAAAAATTTATTAAATGATATATAAAATAAAATAATTTTTCTAAAATTCTACCACAAATTACCTTTTATCATAATTTTTTAATTAAAAAAAAAATCTAATTAGACAAAGATGTATTTAAAGAAAATAAAATAATTTTTATAAAACTCAAACACAAATTACCTATTTTTTTTTCAATAAAAATAGATCATATTAGACAAAGATATATTTAAAGAGTTTGTATAAAACTCTAACACAAATTACCTATCTATCTATTTATTATGACTTTTTTTAATAAAAGAAAACCTAATTATACGAGTATTATTAATATAAAAAAATATTTATGAATTGATATAAAAAAAAAGTTTTAAAAGAGTTTTTATAAAACTCTAACACAATTTACCTATTTATCTAACTAGCAAGAAACGAATATAGGCGCCAAATAGACTCGGTACAAAGTAGGATTTTTTTTTTTTTTTTTTTTTTTGGTCGAGGAAAATAGCAGTGCTCAAAGAAAAATGGAGTCATACAAATGGAGGAGACAAAAAAGTAAAAATAAAAATAAATAAAGGGATTGATTGCACATTTCTCCCCAAACACTTATCAAAAAAAGAAAATTTTCAAAAGAAGAAAATTTTCCACGCCACTCTGCCCTACTTTTTCTTTGGGTTTACACACAGCATACAAAGCCACCTTTGCTCCTAATGATTTCATTTATGCACCAGACCATGAGAATTATCTAAACACCTTATTAAGCTAATTTATAACACTTTTGGGGTAGGATAAAGATGTTGGACCAATACAATTGTGTAGAAACCAGTACAACCTTGATGAGTTGAAATCTGCCGGCATACGAGAAGGGCCTAGTTGACCAGTGAGATATCCGGTGAGTAATTTTCTCAATTAGAAGCCTGTAATCAGATGACTTGAGGTTGCTGGTGATCAAAGGCACCCCAAGTTGTCTAATTCGAAGACTGCCTATCCCAATTCCAAGTGTGCTAATTATGGCATTCTATTTATATTGTTCAACATCATATAAGAAAATTGAGCTTTTGGTTAAGTTGATGTCAATCCCAGACATTGAACCCAAGTGGTCCAACATTGATTTCATAACAGAAATTGAAGCTATGCCTCCATGGCAGAGTAAATGGAGGTCATCTTCAAAGTTTAGGCTAGTGTGATTCCTAAATTATTGCATTTCCAATGGTGAATTGAGGCTGGTGCTCTTGCCACAATTAGTTAATCAGTTTTGGGTATTTGTTTGTTGGGTTGGACTTATCCTTTGTTTATGTTTGTATTTGGGCTGGGATGCCAATTTTCTGACTTATTTTGTCCAAAGGTTCACCATGTATTGTCTTATGTTTATTTATACTAGCTTAATCTTTCGTCGTCGAAAATAAATAAATAAATAAAAAGTTTTGTGATGTACTGAAAATCCTAAACAAAGGCAAACCAATATATTTTGGTTGTAGTTTGTCAAATATGCCTTTATACATATATATATTCCTTTAATTTTGCTAAATCAAACGTTGAAATAAAAAAATTTACATTAAGATTCTTGACTAGACAGTGAAGTTTGAATAACAGTTTAACAATTATATCAAAAATATTATTATTAAAAAAAATATTAAATAATTCTGACTTATTTAACAAGTAAGTACACTAACTCAATCACTCACAAAAAGTATATTAATATATTATAATAAAATTCTAACATATGCTCCCATTTCATTATGTTAGTTCACCTGTCAAATCAACCAAAACATGGTTGGTCTTTGTCAAATTACAGTCTTTAGAGCATCTTTAATGCTCTTTCATTTTGAATTCTCAAACTCATAATTTGAGATGGATAAAAAAAACTATTCCAATGACCTTTCATTTGACTTTTCAAAATTTAAAAATTTCTCTCAAATATAAAAACTGTTAAATTTTTTTAAGCAGCTCTGTAACACCACCCCACATATATATAACCCCCCCCACACACACATATATAATAATATATGAATTTTTGAAAAGAAAAAATATATATATAAAAAAATTATATAACAATATAATCAAATATATAAATTTATACATACATATATATATATATATATATATTGGTCATTTTTTGACCAGATATTTTAGATTTTTGTTTCTTTTTAATTAGGTTTAATTTTAGTTTCCTTCTTATATCTACAACTTGAATTGAAATGTGCCTAATATTTATATTATTGATACAAATATGAATCATGGGAATGGTAATTAAAAAAAATGGTGGTTGTATCAAAAAATAGCATTTTGCATGAAATGCATCATTAGAGCAGAATTGCTAAAATGTATTTTGACACTGTAACGCCTGTCAAAATATTATCTTTGTACTGCTATATAAGGTCAAATTGTCCTGACATTAATAAGTACGAGTGATCACGAATCAGATTGGATTAGGTATCAATCTTAATTTGATTCGTTCCTAATAAATTAGACAAATTTTAATCCGCTACCGATCCGTTATCTCACGGATTGAATTAGATTCACGAATTGAATTTTATCTAAATTATTTATTATTATTTTTATAATTAATATTATTTATTTATTTTTTAGCCATAACCCAATAAATAAAATTTTAATTTATTAATATTAATTCTTATATTTAAATAATTATTAACTAATACGTCATAGTCCATTAAATTATCATTAAGTAATTAAATTAACTAATATATTATTTAAATATATATATATAAATTTTACGGATCGAAACAAACTCACGGATCGGATTTTTAACAGTCTAATCCGTGATTCGATCCGTGAACTACTGATTTAATTTTTTTTAATCCGCCACTAATCCGTGGGTGTAACAATCCAATCCAATCCGCACGAATCAAACCAATTCGAATCAGATTAGCGGATTATTTGTGGTGATAAGAACAACTCCAATGGGCTGCTATTTTCAAAATATAACATGCTAAAATATAACTTTGTCAAATATTGTGCCAAATATAACACAACATATAGTTATTGCCAAATCTGCTATTGCTCTCTTCCTTCTCTCTTCTTTCTCTCATAGGCTGCCAATTTGGTGTTGCACTTGTATATATATATATATATGCCAGTTGTGCTTGTGTGTATATATATATATATGTATATATATATATGTCAGTATTGTGTATATATGTGTGTGTGTGTATATATATGGCACAAACACTAAAAAAAAAAAAAAAAATGGTTGTTGAAAATTGTAGTTGGAAATGGTAGTTGAAAAATAATGGTTGTTATGTCAAAAAATAGCATTTTAGATGAAATGTATTATTAGAGTAAAATTGCTACAATATAGTATTTTGACATTGTAACTCCTCTTAAAATATAAATTTGACAGGTAAAAATGGCATTTTGCATGAGAGATGGGCGTATTTTTCAAATTTATTTATTTATTATTATTTTTTTTTCTCACTATATTATAAACACTGACGAAGTAGCGGTGAGCCGAGAAATTTCCTGGTGTGGCTCACGGTATCGGGTAGGCGGTGAACCTTTTCTTAAAAAGCCCTAGCCGTTACTACCTTCAAGAAAACTCAGTAGCAGTTATGGAGACAACTACAGACCCTGATTCTTCTTTCTCCTCCATTTTCTCTCACAACAATTCCAGACTCCCTGACGACACCGTTTTCTACGCCATCTTCCCCGACTTCGCTATTCCTTCTTCCTCCTCTCAAACCCCAACCCCTCAGCTCTACTCACAACTCCAATCCCTCCACCTTCAGATTCTCCACTTTATCTCTCCTCTCACCACTCACTACATATGGCAACACCAACCCTTCAATCTTTCTCTCTCTTCCACCACCACCGCCACCCCCCACCACCACATTCCTCATCTCCACGGCCACCTCCGCTTTGGTGACAATCTTGAAGACGAGTGGTTCGTCGTCTTCCTGCTTTTCCAAATCTCCAATCGCTTTCGTGACCTTTCGATTCGCGTATGGGACACCGACGGCGAGTTCATCCTCATCGAGACCGCCTTTCACATCCCCCGCTGGCTCAACCCCGACACCAGCACCAATCGCGTCTTCATTCGCCTCGGCGAGCTTCACATCGTCGGGAGAGGTCGGTTCCCTTCCACGCCGACTTTGTTGGACTCACTGTCGTATTTGGCAAACTCTGGAGATGAATCCAGAGCGTCTGAGTTGGTTCAGTCGGCGATCAAGAACCGGATTGGGGATTATCCGGAGAGAGCGATGAGGAATATGCATAGGGTTAGGGTTAGGGTTCCCATGTCCGTAGCGCAGGTGTTGAAGCACGAGCCTGCCTTGGTTTCGCTGGCCGTGGAGGCGTTCTACGACCGCGACATTGATTCGATGAAGTATGCGGCGAAGATGGAGAGGTTTTTGAGCAATGGGAGTGGGGAAGAGATTGTTCAAGTCTCTATTAGGATGTCCAAGGCCATGTATGCGCAATTGGTGCAGCAGACATTTCAGGCGCCCAAGTGTTATCCGATGCCGCCAAGGAGCGATACCACCGTGTATATGGAGGCTGAGTTGGGGATGAAGATTGCGTGTGGGTTTGAGATGATGTATCAGCTGCGGAGGCAAGAGGGGTTGGAAGGGAAGGGGAGTACATGGAAGTCGTTTAGGGAGAGCTTGGAGAATAGTGGCTATTTTGAGGGGCTTCTTCCGGGGTCAAAAGAGCATCGACGGTTGATGGAGAATGCAGAAGAGTACTACAAGAACAGTTCTTTGTTTTCTCGAGCCAGGTTTGTGTGTCAATCAACTATGTTTGTGTATTAAATTATTATTCAATCTTGTTTGAATAACATGAGAGTAATGCTGTACAGATAGAAAATCTACTTGTTTTATGTAACATATGAATTAGAACTCGATACCTATTACATTTGATATGATTAGAATACTTAAATTTACCTCTTAGAATTGATGGGTAGAGTTAGTAAAGAAATATATGATAGCGTGGGGGTTAACCGAGGCTATGGCCTTAAATAGAGCGGAATGGAAACATAGAATAAGTAATTGGGAAAAAGGCTTGGCGGTGGTTGTTGTCTTAGAATTGATGGTTGTTTGGGGTTTGGGAAAGTCCATTTGTAAATCCCGCTGGAAATTCATGGCTGTCGCTCTGGGAAAGCATCAGCATGGCTTGTTGTGTATTATTGAAGATATCATGTGTGGCACCTTCTCTATCATTAATGGATTTTGTAACTAGTTTCATTCATCTCTGATTATGCAATATTTTTCTATATAGTATAACAACACATCTTACAATCTAAATGATACCCACCTTGTTCATTACACCATGGCACAATTCTTTGCCTGATCCTTCTGTATTTTCCAATACTTTTCTTTGATAGTGGAGCTCTAACACATAATGGTGAGTGTGTGTGTGCATTGCTTTGTTGCAATTACATCTAGTGCTGGTGCAGCTTTTGAGGTAGTTATCAATGCTATTATTGCTGTTACTACTAGTACTTTACAAGCTTTAGTTATTATTATTATTTTTTTCCCTCGCTGTTTTCATCACTAATAATGCTACTAATATTGATGTTACCATTGTTGCAGTGAAATGATGAGCGCCCCAGTGAGACGCATAGATGAGATTCTTGCTCTCCCCTATTCAGCAGATGATTTTAGGGGTCAGGAGCTTCCTCCTTCAGATGATGATTCATGGCTCTACAACGGGGAAGATGAATTAAATGCTGCTCTTCAGGAGAGACAGAAGGAGATGGAACTTTATAATTTGAAACATGAAAAGAAAGAGAAGTCAAAAGAGCAGCAGGATGCTGGTGCCTCGTCTTGCACAAATTTGGATGATTCTGGTCTTGGGGACATAGCAAAATCCATGCAGGCATTTGTCCATAAGATGTCAAGTTATGAGGGAGCAGAGGTGCCTGAAAACAGGTTGGTCTATATCCATTCATTCTATTGTGTAATTACTCAACCAATCTAATGACCTTGCCATGTAGTAGATGCAATGCAGACCAGGCCAACTGTTTATTATCGCCCGAATTGTCACCACTCTGTTATGAGAAATGGGGTATATTGCAATCTAGATCGATTGATTATCACCATACATTTGACGTCAATTGACTATTTATTTTTCCTGGAAGGCTTATAAGTTTCTTTTCTATCTTTTGATGAATAAAAACCAGGTCTCTTGTTACTCTACCTCTTTAATTTCATAAAAGGCAACTAATATAGTTATGGTGATTGGTGAGTAGAGTACGCATTTTCATAGCAACAGATGTCTTATAACTACTCCTGTTAAGTTTTTACTCATAAACAAAAATCTTTTGAAATATTTATCTGAAAAGGCAATATTTTCAATGTACAGATTATGCACCAATCTATTTTTATTTTAATGTTATGAATTGCGCGCCTAAAATTAGAAATTTCCGTGTTAGCTTTTAACATTGTCCCAATTAGAGAACATTTTCTTGAGAAAGTGTGAATTTTTTGGTACATGTTTCTCATGTCACTGAACTAAAGTGATGCCGCTATATTCTGTTGAGATTTTCTTGCCATATTAGATCATCACCTTCTTTTAGTCGAATAGAATTCCTACCTGAATAGGTCTGGTGGGGGTCAACCATCCCAAACCAGATCTTAAACTGAGTCCCTCAACCCGAGATTAGCACTTTGTGTAGAGTGGAGTGGCTCCTTTCGTTGTTTAAACAGGAAGTGTCAAGTGAGATGGCCTGGATATGTGTGACAAAGATGAAAGATACAAGCTGGTGTGACGGGCAGGAATGCAGGATACATATTATGGATTTATATTATTTTGGTGGGTTGACCTGTTTTGGTTGCATTTCCAATCTGATTCATAAAAAAGGGAAATGAATGGAGTGTTGGTGGGAATTGTTGTTCCAATTTGTTACAGTTGTCCTTGCTGTGACTAATTAGATACTTAAAATCTGCAAGAAATATTATCATGGATCATCAATGATATGAACTAGTTTTTATTCTAGCAAATTTGCACCTTGTTGTATGTGATCAAAACTATAATATACTTGAATGCTGTGTAATTGAATGCTCGTTTAGTAGGTGGAACTATTTCAAAGTGTTGATGTTTATTTCGATTTTAATTTTATTTATTTATTGCGCGTGCTCAATATAACAGTTGATGGATGCTGTATTTTATTTTTTCTTGAAGGGACTTAAAAGATGTGGACTTTGATGTGGACCGTTTTATTAAAGACATGGAATCGGTTATGAGGCGTCCAGTTTCTGAAGACACAGGTAGGGATGTTGAGTTGGAAGAAGGATCCTCATCAGACATGGATTTTGGTAATTTCTAAACTTGGATCTATTTATGAGTTATAACCCATATTTGTTGCATAATTTTTTTTTTTGTAAAAAATTATTATTATTATTTTTGTAACACAGTTTCAATGCTGTTCACTGTGTACTCTTTTTCTGACTTTTTAGGTTGATCAAATATCGCTTTTGATATCTCCATTACATCTCTCTTATTCGGAACATTGGACTGCGATCCTTCCTTATTGACCTTTTAGAATTTGAATTCCTCACAGTTCTTTAGTTTTATGTCCCAGTCTGGATTGCTTTCTGGCATGCTACTACTCTCGATTCTGTTTGGCTTTTAGCTTATGATGTTAATCATATAGACAAGTGTTCCACAAAGATAATATTACGCCCATAGTTTAAATGTTTGGCAGAACTCAATTCATTGACATATAATGCTGATGGATTTGACTTGGAAACCTGATAACATCAAATTATAGATCTGTTCTTTAATATTTTTATATTAATATATAAATGCCTGTGCTTACCAAAAAAGATGCATGCAATGCCCAAATCTTGGCTTTTGAAGTATTACATTTTTTTCCTTAAATTTTTTGAGTATTACATTTCATAGCTTATATTGAGTACATGGATTTGGACCCTTTTTTCATTAAAAAAATAAAAAAAATTGCAAGTTATTAAAAAAAAATTAGTTTCTTTTTTGTGTACTTATGGATTCTCAATAACTTAAATGAGCAGATGAGTCTGAAGATGGAAGTGACATTGCGGAGCCTTCTGGAAGTACTTTCATGCATTCTTATTCTGATGCTCTAAACGACGAACTGAAAGACACCAGTCTCAACAAAAGTTTTGTCCGTGCAAAGGAACAACAGCCTTTGAAGGAAGATGAGGTTAGTTCTCCATGTTTGCATTCATTATTAGAGAACTGAAATATATATATATATATATATTCTCTCTCTCTTTTAAACACCACCCTTTATCTTGATAGAGCTTAGCAATGAAAGGAAAAATGCAGTTGCGATTTATCCAGATTTTTGTTTTAGATAAATAAATCTCATGCCACCACTCTGCTCTAGGATGCCATGCCAATGGAAAATTTATAATGCATAATTGATTAATATAGCAAAACAGACATTATCATGTAATCTGTTTCTTGTATCATTCATAAACTTATCTTAATTATAATGTTTCACTCATTATATTTGTGTAAACTTGAAAAATGCAGGGAACATCAAATGCCTTGCAGGACATGGATGAGGACTTCAGCCCTGTGGATGTGGATGTGAACCTTGTGAAAAGTCTTCTTGATTCTTTTTCTTCTCAACAAGGACTTCCTGGTCCTGCTACCAATTTACTAGGGCTAATGGGTCTACCGATCCCCCAAGATCCGAAAAAGGAGAAATGAAATATCCTTTTTTTAGTTTGCTTTCACTTATACTAGTATAATGTTGTTAAGCCTTCTAACCCTCCCTACAAATTTTGGTGGCTGAGTTTGTAACAGGGATTGTAAAATGCATATTTTAAGTTGATACAATGTAATATACCTACACCATGAATTCAACTAGCTTTTACTTGAAAAATATAATACGAAATAAGCCTTTTTCTCTTCATCATCATTTTGTTCTTCTCTTCAACGTGTTTTACATTAAAAAAATTTTGGTCGCAAGTTTCAAAGGGACGAATGTTTTGGGTTTATGAAGATCAAGACATTGTTGGTAAGATTGAAGAATGCGCTATGGTACATTCTGTGAATTTTTTAACTCTCTCATATTTGGAAATAATGTCTACTTGGAGGAATATACTGTCATTGTGGCCATTTTATATTATTAGCATTGTTTAGAATAATATTAGTTAAAAGACGGTTGCAATTGTAGTGGTGAATAATGGCTAGAGTAGCAATTAACTACTCAGACTCGGATCATAAGACGTCGCAGAAATTCCGAATATGAAGAAAAAATAACTCATATTCTCTCATATTTCAAGTAACTTCCTCCAATTTTAAATTTTCAAGTAACTTTCTCCAATTTTAAATTCAAGCCAACGATTTATTACTCCAAACATAACACAAGTCCTTTTGTGCCCTTGGAATTAACAATCCACCACCATTCACATTTAGATGCATGTTACTACAATGTTGCTATTGATGATGAAAAAATAACTCATATTCTCCTGCTTAGATAAATTAGAAACGAACAGTTCCTGAAAGAGGACCAAGAATCAGGGGAAAACAAAAAGAATAAGAAATGATTGATATGCTTTCTCTTGTTTTCTTTCCCTCCCTCAACGAACCAAATTTTCCACGGTGATCAAATTAGGAGAAATGATGTTATTTACATTCTCTTTTCCTTTCCTTCATCAAGTCCATCTGAGAAGGAAAGAAAGAGGAAGACATAAACAGAATAATAATAACTTGAAAGAAAAAAAACCCACAAAAACAGAAAACAAAAGAATGCACTGAAAGTTTTGACACAAGAAGAGGGAAGAAAGCCTCTGGCACCTACCAGATATTACCCATATATAGGATAAGAAAAAAAGAAAAGAAAAAAACCTGTATACAATGAAAGAACACAATTTTTATGATCTCGTATCATGGTCTTTTCTGTGAACTGCAGGACTCATACAGGAGAAGAGTGAATTCTTGGGTTTTTTTGCTTTAGTACCAAATATCAATGCCTGTAAAGGGATTCGAGACCGACTTGTTGAGTTCTTGAGTTGTGATTGCCTACGATGCATCGATCCAGAAACCCCAAATTCCTCGTTCAGCTTCATTAGGGTCTTATCAATTTCATGTTGGAGTGCAGTTACATGATGCAAGCCTCCTTGTAGTTCACCTCTAACCTTATTATTCTCTTGTTTCATCTGCAGAACCTTACCTTGGAACTTTGCAGCTTGATGACTAGTGAACTTCATTTCTTCTTGCTCCACACAAGCTTTTAAAGCCTTTGTTATATCTTCTTGAATGTAGCACAAAGCAGTGAATCTGCGTAACTGTTCATCTTTCAGCAATGCACTTTGTCCTAACCATACTGTCATTTCACCATGCATCTCTCTGAGGTGCCTGTATATTGCCCGGAAATCTGATTTTTGGTCTGTTGTCATACTTCCCCCTTGCTTTGTCTTTACTTTTTCCTTTAGTTTCGATAATTCATCTAGCAAATCTTGGAAACCGGTTTTAAATTTCTGCATCTGTTGAAAAGAAGTACTGAATCTCAACCAGAAGTCCAGGTTCTCATCTAGGATTGCATCGATGTTCATCTGGAGCTTTTCTTCAATAGGGGAGACGTTTTGAGTTTCATCAGGCATAATCAACTTAATATCTTCTTCTTCCTTCTCTATCAGTAGACTCTCTGAAATATCATGAGCCCCAGTTGTTGCTTCAGGTTTAGTGCTTTGATCATTTAACATGTCAGAGTATGGCAAGTCATTATATTCCAAATCCTTACTTCCATCAGAACTGGCAAGCAAATGTTTCAGTTTCTGACGTAAAGATTGATTCTCTTTGTCCCTCTTCGCAACAGCACTCCTCAGTTCTCTAAGCTGCACTGTCATTTCAAAGCGGCTATCCCTATTTTTCTTCTCTGCTTCACTGAGCTTCTTCTTAACAACCTTATAATTCTTGAGAATTATAGTATATTCTCTCAACAGAATTTTCTCTTTATCCTCCAATCCATCCAAAAGCATATGTAGCCAGTTCATTCCATTTTCGTTTGCTGTTGCTATTTCCTGTAAATTTGTGTCAGGAAGAGTATATGGCGTCGGCGACAAATCATATTTACCAACTTGGTCTGGTGATTCTGGGATCTTCCATCTCGCAGCATCATTTGCCCAGGACCGCAAAACTTTTTCTTCCTCTTCTCCTTGAATCTGTTCATAATTATTCTGCGCGCCTGCTGTTCTTGAATCTCTGGTATTCACAAAACCATCACTAGGACTTGGCATACTTTGTTTTTCTGAATCTTGTTGTGATTTGATTTCACTAAGAGACCACCCTTCTTCTTGTAATAAATCTGTAATCTCAGACCTCTCTCCTTGTGATGACTCTGTAATCTCAAGATCTTCATCAGGCTTCGCACTGTGCAGTTTGTTGGTCAATTGCTCAAGACTACAACGAGCTTCAGTAAAATGGGATTGGAGGTTGTTGTTTCGGTTCTCAATATTCTGGTTTAGATCCTGAAGTTTGTCCAACTTTGCCTCAATATCCCTTAGCCTGTTGCTCAAATTGTCCGAGCCATCAATCTGAGTGGTCTTATCATCTTCTAAGCTCCTTATATGTGCTTGAAGATCATTGGTATCTGTTCTTAATCTGTTTATAAGAGCAGTCTGAGATAAAATTGCAGTTTCTAGGCTGATTATCTTATGGACAAGCTCATCAATCTTCTCTGCTAATTCTGTCACTGTGACGGATACTTTGGAGCCTGCCTCAAAATGTTCCTTAATCTTGTTCTGTAATAATTCCAATTCCTCTCTCTCTTGTGCCGCACGTTTGGATCCAGCCTCAAAGTGTTCCTTAATCTTGTCCCGTAACAACTCCAATTCACGTCTCTCTTTTGTGACACCGTGTGCTTCTTGGTTCATGGGTTGTGACTGCTCTTCCACCACTTTCGGGGACTCATCTTTGTCACAGGGATTTTCTTCATCAGTTTGATCATGAGAAAACTTCTGCTTGAAGGACTTCAGTTTCTCACGAGCATCCTCAATCTTTTCGTTTTCTTCTCTTGCTTCCTTGGTCGATCTATCTTGTTTCTCCTCCAACTGAGACAAGGTCTCTTGGCATGATTTTAGAGCTGCTTCCGCCATCAAATTCCGAGCCTCATCATCCTCAATAACCTTTCCCACACCAAATTCATCTTGCAAACTGAAAACTCTCTCGTGTTTATCTGAGACCTGCTTCTCTATTTCCCAGTATTTTGCAAGTGCAGTTTCATAAGAGCTCTTCACAAACTCCATCTCAGTTTGCAAGGCCAAAGTTTCTTTCTGAAGCTTGTCAATCTCTTCAAGTGCCTCAGATTCGCTCAAACCAGATTTAGCAACTAAGTTGAATTTTGCTCTTTTTGGTGACTTCTTATTTGGAGTTGACATTTGTAGATCTCTATTTGGAAACTTTGGAACTTTTGGGATATTATTGGTTGAAACTTGTGAAATATTGTCTGGAATTCCAAGAGAGCCACATTCGTATTCGTCATCCATTGATAACTGGACTTTCTCGGGGAAAACAGAAGCAATGGTGGTGTTGGCATTTTGTAACTCAGTTGATAAGTGGTCATACCTTTCAGCCAACGCTCGGAAAATTCTGTATGATTCTTCCACGTAGTTTATAAGTTCTGGCCTTTTCTTATAGTACATTTCTGCCCTCTGGGCAAAGGTGTCTCCATCCCCTTCAATGAGGCCAAGCACATTTTGGACCTTCTCTTCCATATCTGCAATTCCGTAAAATGCAGTCAGATTTTGATGTGTTATGTATATACACCTGGAGCTCATGAACGTCAAACCAGTTGATTAACAAGTAACTTTAAGTCACGTAAATACTAGTGAATCAGATGAACATCACAATCGGTTGATGCACAGGCTTTGAATCTTTTTTCTTCTATTGCTTCTGGTTGAAATGGAAACATAATCACAGGAAAACTTCAAAATAGAGATGGGTTGTCTATAAGGTCTGTAAATGATTTCATACTTTAATCAAATTAACATTTTATCCGAGGTTCATGCTCATTGCATATTAGCACCTCAGAAGGAAAAAACAAAGAAAAAAAAAGGTGATTAAGTTCCGAACCTCTGAACAATGCGTCCCATAAACGAAATGTTACAAGGAAATTACTTCAAGTCTTTAAGTACTGTGGACTTCAATAAACTAGGGTGAATGGATAAAAAACACAGGATACTGAAATCCGGGAGAGGGAGGGCTCGACCCAACAATCCACCTAATTTTTTTACTTCCCCCTTTTAGTATATGCTGAAGTAAATATAGGAAGAATAACTAATAAGAGGGGTTGAATAAAATGAAGAACATGAAATTAAATAAATCAGATTTCTTTTGAAAAAAAAAAAAGAGTGGGAAATCCTACAAAATTGCTGTTCAACAGAAAATGCCACTTATGCAGAACTTTTATAAATTTCGGTCTGAACTGAAGTTCTTCAATTTTAAGCCATGTTTAAGAGCACCACAAATGGCAAATTGAAAGCTTACATTATATGTACATATATATTGAAAAAATAAAACTAATATTTCAGTGGGGAATTGTTTTCCAGATAATAAGCAAGATATTCCTATGCATTGTCTAGTCACTGTATCTCTAGAGCTACACTCTTGGTGGTTCAAATTATAGTTATAACTCTGTAAACTGTTTTTTCCTAAAAAAATTTCTACATAAATATTTATTGTGATTTTTGATTGTTATCAAGTTATGAACATGCTCTGTAGGCAAAATATTTAATGACAACCATGGTGAGTGGTAACTTGTATGAATTTAAATTCAATGTTCACTAATGATCAACATAATTTCACAGTTGCAGAAAAAAATAGTAAGTTTTTTATTTTTTATTTTTCAGAAAGAAAAAAAAAACCATATGTTGCCAATTAAGTATTCTTTTTTCTTTCATGAATCAACAATGACATCCCACAGAAATGAAAATTTTCTATATTGAAAATTTCAATTTAATAGCTTTAGACAGAAGACCAGAGCAATATCAATTTATTACTGTTATTATTTTTTAGGTCCTGACAAAGAATTCCCGGAATGCTCTTATCTTGAACCCTATATTTTTCGCTTTCAAAGCGGAGCCTTGGTGCAAACAGATAATTGAAATCAACAAAAAAAATAAAAACCGTAAGTTATTGATATAACATAAAATAGTCTATACATTCTAGTATCTACATAAATGTATACACAATTCATACTATATGTATAGAATGTGATTTGAAATCAAATCAACGAAAACCCAAGTGGTGGTTTCATCAAAAGAATACCTTGAAGGGTCTGATCGAGCCATTTGGACTGCTTTGTCCTGACATGGCTTGACCACCACCATGAGTATGCATTGCTTGCAGCTCGTTGCAACATCTATCTATTCTGACCTATACAACGAACATGCAAGATGCAACACTTTCTCACTCTAACCAAGAATGGATCGCATAGGTGGAACCCATTAACTTTGAGGAAAAAAGCTAAATGGGTTTTCAAGAAGAGGAAAAAGGAAACACAGGTTCTCTGGGGAAAGCCATGGAACAAAAAGGTAACTCTGAATTGGGAACCTAATTATGGGTTCGAGGAGAGGAGATTTTCCCGCGAGAAATGAATGGTGGACCTCACAATGGAGAAACCAAAATGTTAGAAGCCAGCCCAATCAGCAATCTCTATGTCAACGTGGCATCAAAAATGTTATCGCTTTTGGTTTGGATCAGGATTAAATTGTTTGTTGTACACTTGTAAGTTCGTAAAATACTTGAACTTGTACCAGAACACGGATAAATCAAACACATAACATAATAATCCAAGATTAGCACACACATTATATCAACTAAACAAGTATGATGCAATATAACAAAATCAAGAATGCAATATAAATGTAATATAGTTATTTCGATTCTAGATCAATCATGTTTTCATTTAGTTTAGTTGTATTGCGTTCTCAATTTAATTATTTTATATATATGTACAACATTTTACAATAAAGAGTTTCAAAAATAATTCCGTACACTTTAGTTATGAAGTTTCAACACTTCTTTTACCGACTTAGAAGTTAAATGTAATTAATATCATGATTTGTTGGGTATGAAGGTGGCTTTATATTGATCATTAAATACTGATAATATTTTGAAACATGCTAATATGCTACTTTATTTGAATTAAGATTGATTTGATTGACTTGAATTGGATGTGAGGTAACAAGATAGGCTCAAAACTTTATTTTAAGGCTAGTTAAATTTAACCTGAATAATCTACTAACAAGACTAAGTTAAGCTTGTCTAAAATATATTTGTCAACTTTGGGTGCTACAAGCAACTTGGCCATAAGGGGGTGAACGACTGGGAAAACAACTTGCCATTATGGAGTGTTTTTCACTCAACAACAGAATTACATCTTTACCCATGATGGTGACGGGCGAGGATTAGGTCATGCACAAGACTTGAGATCTCTTTAGTACAACACGTGGAGTGGGGTCGTGCTGTAACGTAACCAACGGATCCGTGACTCACATGTGTGGTCCTGCAGCATGATGTATCAGTTAGGCTTACAGGCAATAAATGCACAGCAGTCTCATATTCACTGACAAAGAAAACTGTTTTAGCCTTTCCTAATTCAGGGACTTTTGGAGAAGGAACAATTCTCAAGGTCTCATCATTGTAGCAACTCAAAAACAATGGAGCAACATGGTTCATTCAAGAAGCATTTGCAAGTGCTTCCCAAACTCAAGAAGAAAGGCATGAACTATGAACAACACACAAATATGCACATACACGTATATAAATTGATATTTTGCTTCGAAAGAAGAAGTACTTCCACCGGTGCTACCAAAATCGTGGGATCAAAATGAAGGAAGAAATTCTTAATTACATGATAGAAAAACATGAAAACCTATATTGACAAATGGCTGGCTCTTGATTTCACCTCTTCAGAAAAGAAGAGAATTATTTACAATAGCAGCAAGTAGAAGGTATAAACATATTCTACATATTTACAGCAGCAGTATTTACATTAAAGAATCTGCATTAGATTTCAAGTTTCCCCTTGTAACAGTTGAAACGAGACCTGGTAAGCTAGAGAATTTTACAAAATGTGCTGGAAAACAGCAAGATCGATGTCACTTGTCGTCGTCGCTAAATTGTAGATGCTCAATCTGTTTTCTCAACTGAAACAAAATAACCCTCAACTTTGACATATGATGATCCTCTGCACTTCTACCCGAGATGCAGTTGCAGAGCCTAATACACACCCGAGTTCTCAACTTCAACCTTTTGTATCTCTTATAAGTTCTTCCGCTTATACTTTCTAATCCTCTGTACCATAACAGTGTCAGTTCTTCACATGGATGACCACATAATTAAGAACTAATCATGCAAGGACCATAAGGACGAAATAAACTGCTCCATGTACTTCTTGCGCTCTGCATATGCAACCAAAATATGGAGAAAAACTTATCATTTTGACAAATTTTAGGCCTGTCGGTAAATAGAGATAGAACAGCATTTTCCTTCATCAATTTAAAACATACTGAAAACTCGCAGATAGTTCAATCGAGATTCAGGCAGCATCAACAAATTTCAAAGGCTTAAACTTTCCAGGCAGCGGTGAAAACTGAAAAGTAAGACTAGTTTGTCACACACCACCAACATAGTTTCAAAGCCGAAATTTAACACCTAGAGGAGCTCTCGCTAAACAAGTCAAACTAACAACTAGTCACTCAAATCCTAGTGTCTAAAAGAAGGGAACTCCAATTTTCATTTTGTGCTGCGCGGTGAGGATTGAAGACAGAAAATTATTTTGCCAACCTTGGTTACAGTTGAGCAGAACAAATGATATTCATCTTAACAATCATTTTTCATTGTAGTAGACAACGAGGCAAGTATACGATTATGTATTTGCATCGAAAAAAAGTAGGACTCAAGAATCCTCCAAAAAGGAAACAGGAATGCAGATATTGGCTTAAGCAGAGAACAAACGATTCACAAAGGAATGGGCAAAGGATGATAAAACCAAAACTCTTCCTTTATTTCTTAGTTAAACAAAAGTTAAAGCTAATAAAAAGAAGTCGATACATGAATGAGAATAATGTTCACAATGACATGGCAATGGGATGCATATTGTCCAAAATAGAATGCTTTAAAACCGCTTAGTGCAGGTGATAGATCCCTTCACTGTGGAACAAGAGGGAATTTGCAATTTTATTATGTCATAATCAAACCAAATACCATACTTATCAAAAATAAATTAATAATCAAATCAAATACCATAAAAATACAAAACCAATAAAGGAGAGGCGGAAATTTGACAGAATGGTTGCTTTTACTTTTAAAAGAAAGCCTTTAGTGATGATCCTAAATCCCAGATATATCATAAAGAAGCAAATATAAATCAACTCTCTTTATTTTGCATATCTCAAAGCAAAAGTAAGAGATGATCTTTCTCACAACTACAAAATTGCCTCTATTTTTCTAGCAAATTCTTTTCTTGATTGGGGGCTAAACATTTAAATGTAAGATTTATCAAATGAAACAATGACACTCACCATCAGAGTACTCGTTTGGGAGGTTGTTGATGGCACTAAAGAACTGATTGTTGGGTTCTTCCTCCAGCTCCTTGAATTCATGCTTATAGCAAGGAACTAACACTGCAAAACTGTTGTCTGCCTCCTCATCATCCCTCTGGAAATCGGGGGCGTGCGGTTCCAGCCACCCAATTGACCAGTCCGAGTCATCGGTTTCAGACCCCGACAAACAAACACCGTCTGATGGCACCAACACAGCATCACACTCCTTGTCAATTTTCCTTTCCTCCCTGCTTCTCCATTTCCTCTTTACCTTCCTTGTTGAGCTGACCATCTTCGACCCTTTAACCGATGGAAATTTCACTGTATCTGGTTCCCTCAAACCTAAACCCCAATCCGAAGAAGAATTCATTGAAGACCCATTACAAAGAGGCTCTTTATCTTTCCCACCCCACAACCACCATGAAAGATGGGTAAAAGAAACAGCCATTTCTACAAACACAAAGTCTGCAGAGAAGTGAAGTACCAATAAAAGGAATTCGGCTTCTAGAATTGAAGCAAAGAATTGGAAGCCGAAGAATCGAAGAATTGAAAGGGGTTTCTGCCTGTTGCAGTAACCATTAAATTAGAAAAATGATTGAATTCATTGGTACAAATAAACCAAATTAGGGAAGATATTAATTCAATCCAAATAGTTGGGAAAATGCTTTGCTGAGTCGAGTTGAATTGAATTAATTCAGTCCAAACAAAACATTAATCTCGGCTGTAATGAAGAAAGCTTTGAAAAAGCTATATAAAACATAGTCAAATGATTCACAAAAATATCTCAACTTTCTTTAGATCGCAACCAACAAAGATGTCAACAAATTATTGACATTAATAGGACCTTAAATAAGGAAAACCAAACAACATTTAACCCAACTCCAAAGTCATAATTAAAGTCGGAAATTTTTAACAGAGTATCAGAGACTCTACAATCCACTCAACACTCCAAAATTCTCACACACACCCAAATGATCAACCAAACTCAAAGGCATCAAATTCAAAATCAGAAAACTACGTCTGATTTGATTTAACGGATCCAAGAAAAGACTTGGTTCGCGGCTTTGCTATCAAAAATCTGAGATACCCACAGATTTACAGAGATAAGTGATCATTAGGTCCCTAATATCACCGAAAAATTGAAACTTGATCGGCGCAATAGGAAAGTTTTGGAAAATAAACGGTGACAACGCCGGAAAAGGATAAATCTCGCCGGAACGCAAAAATTTTCACGAAATCAAACGGCAGAATCACCGGAAAAATCGAAATTCTCGACGGCATTCGAAGTTTGAACGAAATCAAACGACGACATCGCCTATAAAAACCGATGTTGTTCTCCGGAAAGAGAAGAGAACGGTGAAGGTAGGAGGAATAGAGCTCGAAACTCTTTAATATCTCTCCAGTATCTCCATTCTCTAACTCTCTTATCTCTCTCTACAACAGAGTCCTTCGTCCCTCTCACTCTATATATATAGAGATAGAGAGGAATAGTACTATTACAGTAATTTCTGATAAATTAACTGACAGCTTTCGCAATGGCGATATAAAATTAGCATTATTATAATTTGCTTTTGGATTTATCGGAGGACATCCAACGGTTCAGATTCAAGGACACTATAATGGTCGTCGGATCATATCGTGGTCCTTGTAATCATTTAACAACAATTCAGAAATCTTAATGATTGAAAAAATCTGATTGGAGAACCGGAGAGTGCACGTTAATGGGACGATTTTGCTGACATGGGAAGTTGTGATCCCAATCATTGCGTGCGTGTGCGGTTCTTGTAATGACACGTGTACACCAGGTCAACCATTGATCTTCTAAAAGAATAATTTTTGCCTCTCATTGGCAAGGTGACAAAATAAATAATACATGTGGATTTTGAATTTAAAATATATATATATAAAATTTATTCTAAATTTAAAATAAAAAATGTCATTTTATCATTGTACAAGTATCATTCTTTATAAAATACAAAATCCAAAACTTGCCTACATGTATAGAAATTAAAGGAGGCCCATAATTAAAGGTTTAAATTTCAAAATGAGCATGTTTTCTGTTAAGGTATACTAATAATAATAATACTATTATTACGACGTGATTGATAGCGTGTAATTTTGACATAATCAACGTGTTACTATTTTTTAAAATTCAAGGAAACAGCAAAACCCAAATTCACTCACAAATTAAATGTAGAATAAAGTACTCCTATGATAGATAATCTAATTTGCCTCCCATGCTCTAAAGTCAGAAATCACCAACTTTTTCTTCTGGCAACTTTTGATTTGTTCTTAAAATATAGTAATTTTTTAGTAGTTCGGGAGAGTTTTTGTTAATTACGTTCATAATTTAGCAAATTTTTTATTTTTTTTATTTTTTGCACTTTATCCTACAATAAATAATACATGTGAATTTTATATTTAATATATATATAACTAACAAATCTAAGATAAATACTTGTCATTTAATCGGTGTACAAGAATCATACTTTGTAAAATACAAAATGCAAAACTAGGGACAAAACTTGGTTGCATGTGCAGTGTCAAAAGTAAATAATTATGTGAATTTTGTGTTTAGGTAATTCTGAAAGAAAAGAAATTAAAGGAGAGGAAAAAAAGAATAGATAATATATTAAAGGAGGTAAGTTGAGTCAGGTAATTTAATAACTAGCTATTAAAGGTTATATAATTTAGTCGTAGTTTATTCATTTTTAAAGTAAAACAATGAGGATTTAAGTTTTCAGATAAGCAATTAAGTTTGTGATTTTTGTCAAGATAAAATAAAAATAACCGTAACAGCGTAAAATTTTAACACAATGAGAGTGTTATTACCTTTAAGAGTTCAAGGAAATGGCGAAACGCAAATCCCCGACTAACAAATTAAATATATAGAATAAAGTACTCCTGTATGACTGAGAATCTAATTTGCTTCCCATGGTCTAAAAGTCGGAATCACCAAACTTTTTCTTCACCCGCATTAGCCTTAAATTTGAAAGTCAAAAATTTACTGCTAAAGGAAGAAGTTTCCTAGCTAGTTCCTAATTACATCTTTCCAAAGAACACAAAAGGGCTCTTATGGTCTTCGATTTACCTCCATTGGCCATTGGAGAAGAATCATAACTATTTATATGAAAAAAAAAAAAAAAAAAAAAAAAAAAAAAAAAAAAAAAAACAACTTCATAAATAACATAAAGAAAAAGATAAACATAGTGGATTGATTTGACTCCTCTTTGTTTAGGGTAAATGTCCACCCTTCACAACCATCCATCTAGATTGGTCCCATTCAAAGTAATTGTGAGAAATATATATATATAAGTTGTGGGGGTTCGTTAATACAATAATTGTTACAAATTACAAGGGTGATATCTAGAATGCAAAATATGATTGATCTGAACCAAGTCTTTATAGGAGGGAGAAAATGAAGCCCTGTGGGAGAGCCTTCTGTCCTCCTCTTTCCTTTCTTTTTGTCCAATTTGCACTCGTGCATGGAGAATTCTATTTATAGTCCCAGCCTTTTGCCTAATGTTATGTTCGGTAGAAAGGAAGGAAGGAATACGTTAGATAGGGATGATATAAACAAAGAAATAATAATAGGAAGAATGAATTATCCTTTCTCCTTTACAAATTTTTATCCATCCAAATATAAGTAGAAGATAAGAAAGAAGACAATTGAGCCTATTATAGAAGTTTTAAATTACTACATTACTCTTTATAAATATTTAATAAATTTCATAAATAAAGTAGTGATGGGTTCAATGGTAAAAATAACTTAAAATTTTATCTTTTATTTTATCCTATAGATCAAATTAAATTGTTAACTTTTTTCATTCTCTCCCATTCAACCGAACAAAAATAGGGAAATACTTAATTTCTTCTCTAAGGATGTCTCAGTCATCCCTTCTTCTCTTCCTTCCATTTAATTTTTTTCCTTCTTACCGAATGGAGCATAAATCTCGAAGATTGCATCCAAAGTTCGGGTCCCTCGAGTGGCCATCATGGCCATATTAGGCCTAATAGGGTCATTCTGGCCCTTTAGCTCGAGAATGGACATTATTGCATTAAATGCACATCTTTTCAAAAGCAGTAGTAGTTGAGAGCCATTAATATGATTATAAGTGAGGTACAGGTACGTGGTTCCATTGCCTTATTGGCTAGACTTATAGGTCAGGTGAGTGGGTGAGTGTAGTATGTGGGCCCCCCTAAGCTCGTCTCGAGATGCCAGTGGAGACGTCGAGTACTCTTACGTGAGCGTCATCATCGAGCCATGCATTAGCACCCGGGCTCGACTTCTGTGGGGATGCACCGCGTGGATCTCGAGCGAGAGTAAAACTTGTTAGGGTTGAGCTTGAGAAGCCAAGTGCTAGGGTGTGTCACATGAAATCATGGAATGCATCATCATTTTTGTCTTTATTTAACAAAACACGGTGTTAGGATCGTTGTAGGAGTAATAGACTTGAACTAAATCCATGCATTTTTCTTTTAGGTCTTTTGATAGCTATTTTCTTTATTTCCTTCACAAATGGGGGCATAAATCCATGTAATGTTAATGCTATGTAGAAATTGTGATTTTTTAAAAATAATAAATAAATAAATCCAGTGGCCCATAGCACCTGAAAATTGCAAAAGTGATGGGTTACGTGTCTTTTGTTTGCACAATATGAGTGGGATTAATTATGGCTTGTCTGTTTGACATGATGGAGTTTTCAAGTCCCTTTCTTCCAATTGTTCGAAACATTGGAAAATTAGCATCCATTTTAGGGCATGACACCACTTTCAAAAAGAATTATTTATTGCAAAAGTAGCTTTTATAAGAGCACGAAAATGACGAAACAATAATACTAATAAAATAGTATTCCAAAATTGTCCCGTGTGTCCTCCAATTAAAGAATAGAAAATAAAATAAAATAAAATTCCCCTTCAATATTTTCAATAGTTTTTTTGAGTTTTTATTTTATTTATTTATTTATTTATTTTTACTGTTAAAAAGTTTTATATGAAAAAAAAATTATAAAAAAAATATTTTATTCCCTTTGTGTTGCTATGCGCGGGAAAGTCTACAGTATCCCGATAGTAGCATACTAACTTTCAGCCGTTGAATCATCCATCAGATTGAATCCTACCACCACATCTAACCGTCGAGGATCCGAAGGTATGATCAGGAGCAGAGGGAAGGGGGGGCTGGTGGGGGCCATGGCCCCCCATAATTTTTTGGAAATTTTTTTAGTATAAATAAAAATAAAATAGTATAGCATATATGGTATGAAATTTATACTTGGCCCCCTAAGGAAAAAAAAAAATAAATAAATAAATAAATTATTTCTTTAATTACCATTTAACAGAAGATAGTTTATATATAATCTAAAAGAAAGTTATTTAATTGACGACTATAGAACTCCGATAAAAATTTAATGTGGTTATCTTAAAATTTCAACTCAAATATCGTTCTTTCCATAATGTGCCTATCTTAAAATCCTTTCAACTCAAGTACGATTCTTTTCATAACCTTATTATCCTAAAATTTCATCTCATACATGATTCTTTCCATCACTTTTTTTTTTTTCTTTTTATTTATTTTTATTGGAATGCTTTTATAAGAATTCTATAAGAAATTAATTTTTGCAAAATCTAGAACAAAAATTTCATTTGAAGTTTTGAATATCAACAAAAATTGATAATTTAAGAATCTAAATTTTTATTCTATTAATTTGTTTGTGTTTTTTTTTTTTTTTTTATTGTTTTGTTAAATTTTCAATTTTTTACTTTTTTTTTTTAAAAAAAATCATTGTTATTGTTTTATTTTTGTTATTTAATTGAATTTTTTTATAATTTTGGCATAAATCTTATTTGTGTTTGTTAGACAGTTTGATAAAAAAATTGTTTAAATAACTAGTATTTTTTTTTTTTTTTTTTAAAGTTTAGATAGATATATTTTTGTATGAATATAATAAATAGTAAAATATTTTTGCCTACGTAATATTTTTTTTTTTCAAAAGTTCTAGCTAAGTAATGTTATTTATAATTTTGGCCCCCCCAATCTCAAGATCTTGACTCCACCCCTAGGTATGATACTCTTGAAATATTATAAACTTTCACGCTATGTGCAGGGCACTTGGACATGTAATATATATGTCTAGTTTTAAAATTAGAAAAAGCAAAATCCCACAAAGTAATAATATCAGTAAGATGAAAATAAATACTCCACCGTCTCAAAATATAAGACATGATATTGGTCCTTTGGTTTCATAGTAGTAATAGAAAATAGATAATTATTTTAACTAATTCAATTCTAATAAGTTATTCAAAATTGCTGTAATCTAGTAGTGCATTTTGGTCTTTCAAAATAAAAAGAAATTGAGGGTTGGAGGTTTTTACAGTGCCATAACAGAATCTGGACCATGTTTTTTCTTCCTTCGTTTGTAGGAAGTAATTGACCTGTTATGAGTCAACAAAATTAAAATCTTGCATTTTCAATTAAACCAACCAACCAACTTATAATTTTTATTATTATTTCAATTTAAATCTAGCATTTTCAGCTCAACCAACCTGTAGTTTTTATTTCTCCGGATCCAAACAACTTTAATTAAGCTTTTTTGGAGTTAATTAATATCAGATTAAGCCGGTCCAATCAGCAGACAGTAAATAATTATGATTATCTAGTTTCATCCCACAATTTGCGACTAGCCTAATAAAACAATCAACAATTTGTAATGACCATATAGTACAATTTTATTTTTACATGTGACTTTGGAGTGGGACCAAAATTTGTTAAATTTGGTCAATTTAAATTGAAGGTAAGATCAAATATGCCCACTGGATGAATCAATGAATACATATAGATACAGCCAAAAAAGAATATATGTAATTTTGTTCACCACTTGCACTGACCACGAGGTTGGCTTTTCCAACTTTACTTCCTCCTCTTTTGCCTCTTGGCACTTGCATGTGCCTCACACCACCTCAAGACGCAGACAAATTTGAAAAGATATTTACATCACCTTTTTCTTAATATTACTGAAAAGTGAGAAGAATTCCAATGAAGCAACAAGATTGGACAGTGGATAAATAATTCCTCAATTCGCGAATTATATTTTCATTATATCTATATTATTATTATATTTATGAATTTGTGATAGATTTAAAAAAATTAAATCTATAATTTACGAATCGACAGAAATATATATATATATATATTTAAAGAATATTTTAATTAATGATCATTTAAATATTTGAATTAATGTTAACATGATATATATTATATACAATTCAGTAGTGTATTCATTCAAACTACTGTAATTAATAAATTAATTAATCCCAATTAGTAGTAAGAAAATTATATGTAACCCAAACCCTCAACCAAAGTAGACCAATCCCTCTTACATTCATGCATGTCAATATTTATTTAGATTATATAATATTGCTTTTGAGTGCATCAAATTCGCATTTAAGAACTAATTCTTTTTAAAAAAAATAATGTAGTTTAAACTAAAATATATTCTTTTAAACTTTGAGACTCTGCTTCTTCTTGTTTTCTTAAATAAAAAATAAAGGAGGACAAGTGACTGTCCTTTCAGAATTGACAGACGTGGTAATTAAATGTGTTAAAAAAAAAAAAAAAAAAATACAGGTCTGAGTTATATCCCAGATATTGGATTTGAACACAGAATATGGTACATGAATCTATAGTTTGAATGATTTAAATGAATATTAATTGGGTTGGTCTAACGTGTCAAACATTGCTTTGATTTTAGCTACATCATTGGAATAAATTAAAGTTTTTTTTAGGTAGCCATAATGAATCTAGGACTAGCAATATAGTAGGTTGATAAAAATGATTACACTTTGTCACCTCTCAGTTCATAATCAATGACCATTTCATCATTCCACTTCTTTAAGTTGGAAATTTTAGGTTCATCTTCTTCATCTTTTATTTTGCTACACTGAAAAATTTGCAAAGTACAATGCAATAAAGATTTTTTAGAAAACGAATCATTTCTTATACTACATGTGTTGTTGGCAGCATTATAGAGAGATTTTAGATATACATAGAGGGAGAAAAAAGAAAAGCGACTGAACCAATGACAATTTTTTTTCCTCAATCTTTGAGGTTAGTTTTAATTTTTGACAAAAAAAGAGAACCTCATTGATTTATGACTCATCTTCATGAGAGATTTTTTTGTTACAGTAAGTGTGAGAAATTTTAACTGTTCATGTTGTATTTCAAAGAATTTGAATTCCTAAAGTAAAACCTATTCTTAACTAGCAAACAAAAAGAAAAAAGTTTTTTTTTTTGTTTTTTTTTTATAAAGGAAAAAAAGTAGATTTTGATCTAAAATGTATCCTAAATAAGTGGTTGAAAATGAAGATGATGTCCAACTATAGTCGTGAAAAGGCGAATTGGGAATGTCCATTCCAAATGCGGCTTAAATCATGGTAAGAAAAGCATATGCATGTGTTGCTTGTCTGAGTGCAGCAGGGTGTTCCCTATCTAACAAATTTCATGTGGCCTCTAAATTGGAAGGATAGGACCACAGAGGTCTGAGAAATAGGTCCCCATATCTCATTTGGGGCGTGTGAGTAGCCGATTTTTAGTGTCTAAATGAATTGTATTCACTGTATGTGTGATTTTTAATTTTTTTTAATTCATAATTAAAGGTTCCTTTGGTATATATTATGATATTATTTTTTAATATTAGTATTTAAATTTGGATTCATATCATATTTGAAATGGTTGATATTAATTAGAAATAATTCATAACATATTAAATTTTTTGGCCCAACCCATATCATCAAATTGGTGATATTGTGTGTTTTGATATTATAGCATAAGAACTAAAACAAATTTTCTTTACCAAACATGATTCTGATTTCTATCCAAAACACTCCTATAACAAAACGGTTATTTTGATATTAATAAAAAATGCCTGAAACACATTGCATGCCATCTTAAAACACATTGCATGCCAACCTAAAACACATCGCATACCAAACAGGCCAAATCTCACACGTACTGTGGGATTAGTATGTGTGAGAGTCATCCAATAAAAAATAATAAATAAATAAATAATCCAATAGTAAAAGTGAATCCCATACTTTAGGGCCCTATGAATATTAAAAATCATTTGAGTTTTTATTTATTTATTTATTTATAATAATTAAAATCATTTGAGGGTCCAAACATGATTTAATTGATAACAGGAGTTCTGTATTGCAATATGACAGCAGTGTAAACACAGATTTGCCTATAGAACAAAAGCAAAGACGGTGACCAAAATATGATATGTGTGTGTGTGTGTGTGTGTGTGTGTAGGATGCAAAAAGATGTGGCATTTAATCATGATGTATGCATGAGAGTGAAATAGAGGACCCAAAAAGGCGGATTAGGCAGATAAGACACATGTGGTATCCAATAAAGAGTTAGTCATCATTAATTGAGTTTGAGATTGAGGCTCACCTCCAACTAAACTTAAAATTAGAGGTGGAGACACTGTTGGAGTGTAAATGCTCACTACTTGTTAACAAAGACTACCACACAGTTCAATGAATGGCTGGTTGTTTTGTAGATTCTTTAAGTACAAACAAATTCATATATATATATATATATAAGTTTTGCACATATTTTTGAGAAAATTAAGGGATTAATATTCTTTTTACAATTGAGTAATTCCTTGATGCAAGGTATTTTTAAATGACCTAATTGATAGAACTCCTAACTCACCGAAAGGGTGTGTCATGTTCAAATCTTTCTCTCCCTAATTTGTTAGGAAAAAAAAAAAATTCATTGATACATTCAAATCTCAAACTTATTTTTTTTTTACAATAAAAAAAAAAAAAATCTTTTTCAACTAAAAGAAATTAGCAACTACACACATCAAGGTAAAACTCTCATTTTCAGTGGTTTCATTTTAAATTTAAAATTAAAAAGAAGTTTAGCTTAAAGTTTGAATAAAATTTCACTAGAGCAAATTTAATGTGGTATGCACCTACAAAGAAATTGAAATGGACAAGAAATGGTTGGCAAGTGATAAAATCATTGCCACACATATCTATCACTCTAATAAAGCTTTCATTTATTTTACTTTTATTTAGCACATATAGAACTTCTCCCAATAAAGTCGTTTGGTTTTATATTTTCTAAATATAATATTTAAGAACTCGAAAAAAAAAATTAGAGGATTATAAAATGTCTTCTACATTAATTTCCACATTGTTTTGTTATTTTTCAGTTCTATAGAAACAGAAAACAATTCTCAAGATTGGAAAATAATTTTCCAGGCTACAAACAGCCCCTTCATCTACAAAACCCTTGAACTAGGAAATCAAAAGCCCAGCCCAATCTGACTTCAGCCCAAGTAGCAATCTCAACGGCTAGTACAACTCTATGACCTGTGTGTATTCGAAATCCGAGACTAACGCCGTCAAACGAACGGTAACCCCACTATCAATCTCCGTCAACCAAATTCAAATCTTAAAGGCGATCCTCCGTCCACAACGGCTATCTCAAACCACCACTGTCACTTTCTTGATCTTTTCCTTAACCACTTATCCAATCCGAAAATCTCATAAAAGTTTTGAAGCATTCCTCGTTTGAAACGGGTATTCGAAGCATATCAAGATTTCATACAACTTTAATTTATCTCCCCTCGTTGATGGCCGACCCCTAGTCTCGCAAACGGGTATTTTTTATTCTCTCTCTTCTTCTAATTTTTTGTTTGGTTGCTGAGAAATTAAAGAAAATTTGGAATCTTGTGGTGGGTTGGGTGTTTTTCTGCTTCTGATTTCGTGTCCTTCGTTTTCTGGGCTACCAAGCAGTGTAGTAGTTCTTCATTTATGTTGATACGCCTTCTTTTCCCATTTTCTACTTCTCATTTTGTTTCCTTCGTTTCCTGGGCAACAAAGTAATGTATTAGTTCTTCAGTTATGTTGATATGCCTTCTTTTCCCATGAAGTTCATGGTACTTTCCCTTATAATTTTGTGGTAATTAATGGGTATGTGAATTTATAAAGTTCCTCTTTTTTCCTTCACAAGCTTTTTGGTGCGTTTCAGAAAATTTCTCTGTGAATTAGTCGGAATATTACGCTGAACTTGCACATTTTGCGCATTTTTTTTTAATCATATCAGTACATTTGTTCTCATGTATAAACACAAACACACACACAATGTATGATTTTATAACATTCCCTTTAGGTTATAATCACTAGCCCAATACTTTATTTAGGTTAAATTTGGTTGCTGTGGAACTGTAGGAAAAGAAAGGAAACAAAAATTGTGAACCTTAATTTTTACATTACGAAAAAGAAAAAGAAAAACAATTAAAGAGCCCCATACATATATTTAACTTAGGTTTTACAGTTCAAAAAAAAAATAATAATAATAAATAAAATAATAAAGAAATAAAGAAATAAAGAAAAAGGAAAACTAAATTGAACAAACTCGGAGATGCATGATTTTCTTGGAAAATAAAACAGCAGAAAAACATAAGCTCGAGTTGGTTTTCATAATGCCTTATGCATATCAGATGCAAGGTCTCAAAAGAATTTTTACCTCATACTGTAATAAATTGTTGTGTAATGTGAACTTCATTTAGGAATGTAGCTGAATTTCTTTACCATTGTCTTTAGAAATCATGAATTCTTGAAACTATTAAGAGCTTGTGATTTTCTATGTCCAATGGATGTTTTCTTTTGGGGAAGCAAAAATGTGTGCTGGGGAATAGAGGGAAGTTTCTAGGAGAAATAATGAAAACAGAAAGCACAATGTGTGTGTGTGTTCCTGTTTTAATAATGCTGTATTAAGACTGAGAAGGTTACTGTGAAAATTATTCTCACACACAGAGAGTGAGAGAGAAGAGAAGGTTATTGTGAAAATTATGTGTTGAAGGTCTTGGTATAGGTAGAATTCTGAATGTTTTATGATCTTGTGTGTTTTATTGTGGTGGCACTAAGTTGTTTTGGATTTGTCTACCAGTTTTTTTAAGTCAGTTTTTGATCTGAACTGTTGCCTTAGAAGTGCTTTACTTACTTGCCACAGGTGTTATTTGAATTCGATTGCACAGCAAAAAAAGAATGGAGAGAGTCTGTGAAGAGCTAGATGATGCTAAAGCTGAGATTGAGAAGCTGAGAGCAGAATACCAAATAAAAGTGGAATTATCTGAGAGCTTGAAGAGATTGCATAATGAGCAACTCAAAAAAATCCACGAGGCGAGTGTGAAAATTGAGAAGCAAGCTCAAGAACTCAATGAAAAGGCAGATGAAATCTCGGCTGCAAAGCAAATGTGTGAAGATCTCACCTCTAATCTGAAGCAAAAAGAGGCTATCATCAAGCATCTCAGTTCTGCAAATGATAAGCTTCGTTTCGATTCCAATGAGAAGCTTCGAAAGTGGGAAGAAGAAAATAGAGAGCTGGTCTATGCTTTAGATGAGGCAAATTCGAAAAACATGGATCTAGAGCAAAAAGTTCATGCATTTGAGGAAGAAATTGAAAGCCTTAAGGAGGGGCTCCTATCTGTTTCACAAAAGAAGTGTCTGAAAGCAGAGAAACAATCTAGACGGTCAAAAGAACTAGGACACAGAGATGATATGTTAGTCAAATTAGAGGAGGAAAACAGGAAGGTTGAAGATCAGCTCAAGTGGAAGAAGGAACAATTCAAACATTTAGAAGAAGCCCATGAAAAGCTTCGAGATCAGCTCCAAGCACATAAGAAAGAGTGGGAGAGGGAGAAATCCACATTGCTTGATGAGATTACTATGCTGCAGGATAAGTTGGATTCTCAAACTAGAATTTCAGAAGGTCTTCAAAGTCATTTACAAATGTGTAACCATGCTCTTGCTCATGAAGAGAGCCGGAGAAAGCTTCTGGAAGTTCAACTTTCTGAATCCAGATCATGTTTTGAAAATGTTTCTGCTGAGTGTGAGGAAGCAAAATCCAAATTTGAACTGTTGACTGATCAGAGAGACACTGAGATAGCAACTCTGAGGAATCTGTTGGACACAAAGGAGACACTTCACAAAGAAATGGTATACCAAGTTGGGAAACTAGAACAAGAGAACCAGGAGTTGCAATTATCCCTCAAAGAATTCCAGGAAGCTCAAACTCAGGAGGCAGGAACTTCTTCACTGTCAAAGGTGCGAAAGAAGCTTAAAGGTTTGGAGCAGATGCACGGAGACTGTTCCAAAAACCTCAGAGCCAAAGAAGCCAAATGGAGCTCTCAGTTGGAAAAAATGGTAGGGGAACTGAATGACTGCAGGTCTGAGTTAGAGAGGAAAGATACAGTTATAAAGGAACTCAAAATGGAGTTGGAAGGTTGCCATTCTTTAAAGAAGCTTAAAGGTTTGGAGCAGATGCACGGAGACTGTTCCAAAAACCTCAGAGCCAATGAAGCCAAATGGAGCTCTCGGTTGGAAAAAATGGTAGGGGAACTGAATGACTGCAGGTCTGAGTTAGAGAGGAAAGATACAGTTATAAAGGAACTCAAAATGGAGTTGGAAGGTTGCCATTCTTTAAAGATGCTTAAAGGTTTGGAGCAGATGCACGGAGACTGTTCCAAAAACCTCAGAGCCAATGAAGCCAAATGGAGCTCTCAGTTGGAACAAATGGTAGGGGAACTGAATGACTGCAGGTCTGAGTTAGAGAGGAAAGATACAGTTATAAAGGAACTCAAAATGGAGTTGGAAGGTTGCTATTCTTTAAAGAAGCTTAAAGGTTTGGAGCAGATGCACGGAGACTGTTCCAAAAACCTCAGAGCCAATGAAGCCAAATGGAGCTCTCAGTTGGAAAAAATGGTAGGGGAACTGAATGACTGCAGGTCTGAGTTAGAGAGGAAAGATACAGTTATAAAGGAACTCAAAATGGAGTTGGAAGGTTTCCATTCTTTGATTATGCAGTTAGAGTTTCAGAATGAGGAGATGTCTCTGATCTTATTGGTGTTGAAATCAGTAATTTCAGAGGCTGAAGAAAAGCTTGCTAATGAGAATGCTGATTTGAATCTGAAAGACGGTGTAAAGGAAAAGAATGTAGCTCTTCTAATGGAGCAATTAGAGATGAGGAGCGCTGCTCTTGTTAGAGCCAAAACAGATGTTGAAGAAGAACGTGAGAAGGTAGTATTATTATCGAAGAAGGTTGAGTCCTTGAATCTTATTGAACAGCAGCAGCTTCAACTGCAGAAAGAGCTTGAGAGGCACAAGGAAATGCTCAAGGAATCATCAATGCTCAAGGCACAATATAATGAAGAAGAACATGAGAAGCTGGCATCTTTATTATCGAAGAAGGTTGAGTCCTTGAATCTTATTGAACAGCAGCAGCTTCAACTGCAGAAAGAGCTTGAGAGGCACAAGGAAATGCTCAAGGAATCATCAATGCTCAAGGCACAATATAATGAAGAAGAACATGAGAAGCTGGCATCTTTATCAAGGAAGGTTGAGTCCTTGAATGTTATTGAACAACAGCAGCATCAATTGCAGAAGAAGCTTGAGAGGCACAAGGAAATGCTCAAGGCACAATATAATGAAGAAGAACATGAGAAGCTGGCATCTTTATCAAGGAAGGTTGAGTCCTTGAATGTTATTGAACAACAGCAGCATCAATTGCAGAAGGAGCTTGAGAGGCACAAGGAAATTCTCAAGGAATCATCTACATGTCAGCTTCGCTTAAAGGAGCAAGCTTGGCAGATGGAAAGTGACTTAAATGAAGCAAATGAAGAATTGGATGAGAAGTTCTGTGAAGCAAGTGAGCTCGAATTTGAATTGCAGTTATGGAAATCTGTAGCTGAAAGATTGAAAGCTAGCCTTGAAGAAAACCATCAACTGCGTCTAGAAGTTGAAGCTTCTCTTCTTGCACAGGTAGAAGTTGAGGTCGCTCTCAAACAAGAGAAAGAAAGCCTTGCATGTTCATTAGAAGAGAGAGAAAGAAGAATGAAAGATCTTCAGCAACAGCTTCTGTCGTTGGATCAGGGACTAAAGACAAGAGAAACAGAAACTGCCAATACTACCAGACTGGAGACAACAATGGCTCCAGCAAAGGAAAAGACCTCAGAGGATCTTCAGAGTGAGATCGAGTGGCTGGAGGAAGAGTCGGTGAGAAGAGAACTTGAAACAGCCATTCTCGACCAAATCAACACAGAAAGAACCTTTGTGTATGAGAAAGATAGTCTTCACCGGCTTGTAGAAGAGAGAGACCACAAAATAGATGATCTCCAGCAGCTTGTCAGGTCATTGGAAGAGAAGTCCAAAAGTTCAACCTCCTCTTTTTTGACACAACTAGCAGAGAAGCAGGCAGAGATTAAACTGCTCCATGAAGCTTGGGAGAAAGCCAGAACAGCTGAGGTTCTGAAGGAGATAGAAATCCAGGAGAAAAACTTGATAATTGTTGAACTAGAAGATGATTTCAGTAATTTACAGGGGAAACTGAAATTGCAGGAGAAATCATTGTCTAGTTCAAAAGAGAAGCGAAAGGATATTGAAGCTGAATTAGAAGCAAAGCAGTTGGAAATACAGAAGTTGATTCGTCAGCTTGAGACGGAACAAAGTACTTCAGATGCCTTAGTTCACAAGCTTGAGAGTGAAAAAAGGAATTTACTTGAAGAGGTGAAGAAGTTGTTGTCAGATAGGGAATGCTTGTTGGATTTTGTTGGAGGGCTATCCGGGAGGATCAGTGAACTCTCCTGCCAAGACACACAATTGATGGGGATGTGGAGAAGAATAGTTAAGGCTTTTGACAACAATGAGATGGAAATAGGTGATGAACTCTTTGATTCTGTAAAAGAGAACATGAATATGAATTCCTCTCCCGCGGCAAAGAAAGTTGATGCAGTTCTTGACGAAAGATCGCCACTGAGAGCTCTCAACTAGAAAAAAAAAAAGAAAGAAAAAGAGAGAGCTATTTCTATATAGCTTGTATGGCAGAGTAATTCTTTTCTAATGATTTGTTACTACACAAAGCATGGTTTGTGTTTTTATCTTGTAAATTATTGATTTACTGGTGTATAAGCATTTCATTTCTGCATTTGACCATTAATTACATATTCAAATTTAATATTTTTAGTTTCTAATGATCCAGTATATTCTGTTACTACACAAAGCATGGTTTGTGTTTTTATCTTGTAAATTATTGATTTACTGGTGTATAAGCATTTCATTTCTGCATTTGACCATTAATTACATATTCAAATTTAATATTTTTAGTTTCTAATGATCCAGTATATTCTGTCCCAAAAAAAAGAAAAAAAAAAAAAAAAAGACTAAATATGGATGGCCAAATTCAACCCCAGTAAAATTTTCAGATAAATAGTATCATGTTACCTCTATTTTTAGACCATCAAAGAATTTGTTTCCAACAAATGAACCATTAATCTACCATAAACACAAGTATAGCAAGAATTCTGAAAACAGTTAATAACCTGATCTACTCTTGGAGGACTAAGCTTCATGGATGGGACATAGGAAATGCCTTGATATATGTTAGTTCAAAATAATAATAATAATAATAATTAGTAGTGTTTCTAATATTCAAGGCTTCAGTGTGTTTGTTGAAACTCCATAATTAATTAAATAAATGTAAATACCGTAAGATGTCACACATTGCTATTGTGAGGATACAATAAGTGATATGGGCCGGTTATAGTCCGCGGACGTAGCATCGGGGCAAACAATTTAGGTACAACCCATGCAAGAGCACCACAGAATGGGCCGAGCTCGGAGGATCCACCGAAGAAGACCAAGCCCATTGGAAAGAAGGCCCAAAACTGATGGTCCAGCAACACTTGTAATGGCCTATAAAAGGATAGTGAAGAGAGTGAAATGGGGGATTATTTTTTATCGAAAATGTAATGAAACTCTGTCAAAATATAGAGAAAAAATTCTTTGCATCTTCAATTGGCGCCATCTGTGGGAAACGTTGGAGGTTGATTCTTGTTTTTTCAACGTCGTGTTGATTCAGACTGATTGGTGACGACGAAGCTTGATTTGTAGAAGTTAATCCAGATCTGAGAGATTGCGGCTTGCTCTTGAAAGATTCTTGATTCTTAATTGATTCTAAGAAATTGGCGTTAGGTTTACGCAGTTGTGATTCACTCTATTGCGGCTCGATCCAGCAAGCTCAGACGCCGGAAAAGCTCTGATCTATCGAAGGGAGAACAAAACTCGTAAAATTTGAGTTCAGATCTGACGTGATTCGCATCAGCGAGACTCAGATCTAACTTAGAATTTACAATTCATGCCTTTGCTCCGTTCAGGAATGATGACTAGGGGTGAGAACTCCAATACGGTAGAGAATGTCCAGCAGATGAAACTTGATGAGTTGATAAGCATGATCGAAGCTCTCAGGAGAGAGAATGCAGATATAAGGACTGAAATGCAGCGTCAAGAAGTTTCAGTGATTCCACGACCGCTCCCGGCAGGAGAAGAAGTTGCACATACCGATGCGACACATCACGGCGAGGAGGTAGGGAACAATCAGACAAATCTTCACCGCGAGGAGGTAGGGAACAATCAGACAAATCTTCACCACGAAGAGGTCCGGCCAAACGATTTGCCGCCAAATCCTCGTCGTGTTGATGATCGTGAAGGATCAACTCACGTGGATCCACAGCGTGAACAGATCAGGCAAAACGAAGCCATGACTTTCGATCCACGTCAAGAAACGCTCAGCTGCAAGTTTTTGGCGTTCGGCTCATAATGCCAGGTGCCACTTACTTTGCTGAGTGGTTGGCGCTCAGTCAGAATGCCACTTGCCACTTTCACTATTTTATTTTTTGGCAAGTTTTTGACTTTCGGCTCATAGTGCCAGGTGCCACTTACTTTGCTGAGTGGTTGGCGCTCGGCTAGAATGCCACTTGCCACTTTCACTATTTTATTTTTTGGCAAGTTTTTGGCGTTCGGCTCATAGTGCAAGGTGCCACTTACTTTGCTGAGTGGTTGGCGCTCGGCTAGAATGCTACTTGCCACTTTCACTCTTTTATTATTTTTTTTTGGCGTTCGGGTCATAGTGCCGAGTGCCACTTACTTTGCAAATTTTCAAACATTCAATTTTTTCATAAGAAGATAGCTCTTTATAGATTTCAAAATTTCGTACATTCATGCGTACACAATTTGAAAATGAACAATGATAAAATTGGAACTCGATTTTCTATTGATAATACCTTTTCAGAGACGTAGCATTCCATGGCTTGTTGACCAGTCTTCCGGCCATGGTTTCTAAAGTGTAAGCTCCCTTCCCTAAGACTTCTGCAACTCTATATGGGCCTTCCCAAGGTACCACCATTTTCTTAACCATTCCTACCTTCTTCTTCAGAACCAGATCACCTGGTGTAAAGTTTTTGTGCTTTACATTTTTGTTATGGCTATTCATAAGTGTCTGTTGGTAGGATGCGAGCCTTACTGCCGCTGCATCTCTCTTTTCCTCCAACATATCGAGGTTAAACCTCAACATACTGTCGTTATTGTAATACCCCTACTTTTAAAAGGATAGTCTCGGTATTTATTTATTTATTTTTATTGTATTTTTTTAATTGTTTAATTGATTATTTGACTAATTGTTTATGTGTTTAATTGAATTAAGTGTTACTTGATTAATTGGCTACTTATTTATGTGTTATTTATATTTTGTCTAGGTGTTATTTGTATTATTTGTTTAATTAGATTGTGTGCTTAAATGATGTATTTGATTAATTGTAATTAATTGTAAATTAAATGATTAAATGTTTTATTTTATTTTATTTTATGGTTATGGTTAGTGGTAATGGGCTAACTAAGAGGGTCCCATGGACTACTTGAATAGGAGGTTGGATGGGTATGGACAATTACCCATAGATAATTCTATATGTATATATATAGATATATATATGTATATACATATCTATAAAAAGGAAAGTGATTTATTAATATTATAGTAACTTTAGTATTAATAAATAATCTGATGTATATATTTTATATATTTATATAATAAGGATACGTAACATGTTTTAAGTTACCTTTTTAATATTATGGTAACTTTAGTATAAATAAATAATCTGATGTATATATTTTATTTAATTAATAAGGATATACATAGATTATATACGTAACATATTTTAAGTTACCTTTTTAATATTTTCATTTTTTATTTTTCTTTATTAAGTTGACTTGGATTGGGAAAAGGAATAGGGTTATTATTTAGCCTATAAATACACAACTATAGGTTGAAAAAGGAGTGAAAATATATCACATAATATATTCGAGAGAGAGAGAGTTAGAGAGAGAAGGAGAAAGAGGAAGGAAGGAGGAGAAAACCCTTTAGAGAGAAGATCAAGGAAGAAGAAGTTTAACTTTCAATCCGAAAGTTTAAGGCAAGTTCTTCTTCTATCTCTTTCCCTTTGATTTGTGTTTCTATACATGCCTAGGAAATTTCAGGATTTATTAAACATATAAAATTAAATAATTATGCATGTTTAATTGGATTAGAACATATGTTTTATGAATTTGGTTCATATCCGTTCTTGTGTTATGAATTGATAAATGCATGATTTTGATTTGATTTCCGGTGTGAATTTTTACATGTTTAAATTATGTATATTTCATATCTGTGGAATGATGGAACGTAGAAACATGTCTAGGATTCCTGAACATTAAATAGGAACTAGGTTTGGGTTTAAATAAATTTAAATAGACTCAATCATAATGATGCTTGCTATTTGAATGTTTTAAACAAACGAATGAATTTAATCTTTTAATATGTTTTAACAATTGAGATTAAATGTGTAGGATGAATTGGATATGGAGAATGCTTATTCGACGGTATAATAAAATATCATCATATGTACAAGATTCAGTTTATGTAGGACATATGATATAGGAAACTTAAATAAATAACAAGTCATTCCTATTTTGTGATAACTTGAAATCATATTATCATAGTTATTTTTGGATTGTTTGATGTATTTCCTTAATCGTTACATCAATTGTTGAATTGTGTGATTTAATGCACCGGTATGGGACGGTGGCATTCTAGGGACGGATTAACTTATTAGTTAAGTCCTACCTATTTTATATAAGGGAATGGATTAACTAAAATGTTAAGTCCTACTTATATTCAAGTCAGGTCAGCTGAACAAGTTGAATGACTTATGGATGATTAATTTATTATATAAGGGAATGGATTAACTAAAATGTTAAGTCCTACTTATATTCAAGTCAGGTCAGCTGAACAAGTTGAATGACTTATGGAGGATTAATTTATGCCGGATAGGATGGTTACTAGATTATATATATATAAGTATGGTGCCATGATATGAGCTTGAGTCTCAGGATCAATGGTCAGGGTGCGTATATCGTCAGGGATGTGTAGCTAGATATAGTATAGTTGTGTACCCTGGTAGGTCTAGGTATTCATGCCCACTATATGTGCGTTTTGCATGTTGCCTACTATTCAGGTTGAGACCACCCTATAGTCTAGTGAGGTTCCTTTAGTGTGTGTATATATATATATACGGACTACTAGTTACTGTTGGATTGATTAGGATGTATACGTGTATTGGATCTCTGCTTGGACTGTAGTAGAGTAGAACTTGTTTATGGGCCTGACCCACCATTATTTTTCAGGTGTTCGTCAGGAGTAGAGGTTGTTCGTGCTGAGCAGGGATCAGTCTACTTCATTCTTCCGATGCTACATAGGAGTTCCTTTATGATTCAGTTTCCTGATTTAGACAGTTATTGCTGTCATTTGTTTAGTTTGGATTTTCTAGGGGTCCACACAGTATGGATTCCCGAGTTGTATTTTGGAGGATCAGTTGTATCAGAAGAGTTTATTAATTAATGGAAATATATTCTGAGGTTTATTATTAGATTATCATTTTAGTTTCTTGTCAGCATTTTATTTATTCTTCTTTATTCTTTTG